ACAGCATTCCACATATCCCACCCCGAAACAAGGGTACTAACCACCATCCCAATCCCCACCCCCAACTGGCCCATTTCAATCCATCCCAGGAAGGTCCCAGGAATGAGCATATCACATGCATCAACACAGAGCATTTTCTTCAGAAGCGAGAAGCGGCTGATAGAAGGAGCTGGCTTCTTCTCATCCTTCGTCTTAGACGTAGACGACGCCGAAGAAAAGAGTATATCATTAGCAGCTCCCAGTATAGAGAACCCCAGCGCATAGAACCAGAACTTATTCGCTTCTGTCAATATGGCTGCATTATATGGGTTTGGATAGATGGATGTTGCGTGTAACTTGCATGACACTTTAGTATCATTGTATGTCTTGGAATATGAAGGGAAGGGAGTACATACGAGAGTCAAATCCTCCAACAGGAAATAACATCCAAAGCAGGACCATTTACTTATTTCGATTACCGTCTTGATGATATTGCCTTGAGCAGAGGAGGTACCCCCCAGCAAGGCAAATGCTCGATTGAAGCAGTCGATGAAGTTGAAGAACCGGAGGAAGCGTCTCGCTGTTTATTATTTAGTACTGGTTGATTCAAATGATGGATGTAGGGTATTCCCAATTGATTAGGACTATTGGAGGGAAACTAACTCAACGCAAACTGTGTCTTGGCGATGTTGAACCGCGAAATGGATTCTTTTTCCAGAGTGGGTATTTGCAGGGCCAGCACACAGACGGATTGGACGAGGCGGAGGGTCTTTTCGAGACCTGGGGTGGTTCGCGTGAAGCGGTATAAATGGTCTAGCATTCTGATTTCTTTCTATTGCTTTGAGGGGGTATATGTCTGGGGATATGTAGTCTATTGTAGATGTGTTATTTGGCGGTGGGTAGAGACGCGGTTTAAGTAGAAATTAGTCTACCTGCCAAGGGGCTGGCTAGCGGGTACGCGATATCGGCTCGGTATCCGCTTATCTATCATATTCAACCCCATCACATTCACAATGAGGATGATATACGTGACATATCACTTCCGAATGCAACAATGTTCAACGCTAATCTATACATCTACAGCAATCACCGACCTCCCGCAATATCCTGTCCCAGCCGGTATCCTCCGACCTTCTCCCACTCAACCTTCTGCCGTGTGATCGGCAATTGTCTCCGCAGCCCCTTGAATACTCCCTCTGCCGTGCTAACAAACGCCCGGTTCAATTCCTCCTGGTAATCCCGTTCCGCCGCGGCGATCCGCGAAATGATGGCACTAGCATCCACGGATTGCACCGACAGGTTCACCGGCTTGGTGGTGTTGAGGGCCACGTTGCCGTCTTCATAGTAGTGCACATCGACCTTGATCTGGCCGGAGATGGTGGCCGAAGAGGAGTTCACGGGGAGGGTGTAGATGGCGCGGAAGCGACCGTTCCTTTCCCATATTAGTAATTCCTCGTCGAGAATACAATGTGGGAGGTATACCAGAAGTTATTAGGCGAGTAGCGGTTAGCAACGAGGACAATGGCCACGGCAGTGTCATCCTCGATGGGGTACACGCCGTAACTGCAGGTACGGTAGTGTTCGGTGGCGTGTGCGGAGAGGGACTTAAGGAGAGATTTGCTGCGACCTGTTAGCATCACGCCCCAACAATGAACCAGATACGAGGGAAGGGAGCGTACATCAAATCCGCATTCTGCGACTCCAGAACGTACGACTGTGCTGCCGATGCTTCCTATTCCCAGTCAACCCCTTGTCCTCTCAATGCCTTATGTCCACCTACCTGCGTGACATGATCCACCTCGAACGACGTCTGACTTTCCACATCGAAATACCGGTTTCCCTCAAGTTTGTTGTATTCGCTGATCAGAACCTAGAGGAGGTCAGGACGGTCGGTCGACTCCATTATCAGAAAGATAGCCGCCTACCTCCTGGCTTGCGCCGGGAAGCTTCACGGTCGCCAGTTGTGTCTCATTGTAGCGCTCAAAGGCGGGGGCGAGGGAGGGGATAATGTCGGGACCGTCGGAGGTGAGAGCCTTGACGTCTGCAGAGCTGCTTAGTATGGACTGGGTGAGGGGTACGATGCGGGTGGCAACGGTCGGGATAGATAGGTGGAAGTGGATTGCATACCTGCGACGACATCTGCGAGCTAAGAGATGCTGTTAGCCATGTTCGGGGTCATGCAGGTATAGGAGCATGAGGGGGTAGCTGCCTACCTCACCGGGCGGGGCACCCTCGATGAAGGAGGATGCGAGTTCGATAGTGGAAGCCATGGATGTTATGGAACGTACTCAGCTGCCAGAGTTGAGTATGCGGAAGATCAAAAGTAATCTAGTCAGAATCAAGCAAGAAGAATAGAGGGGCAGTGGATGCTGGATGAGCAGACGGAGCTCCAATGTCAACACGGAGTTAGCGCGACTCCCGCCGAGGCCGCACGTGGCCCCTGACCTGCGGCTATCCGCATATCGTCTCTATTATGTTAACCATATCTCTATCAGACACCGTAATCACCTCAGTATGCAAAATAGGATTTATTAATATTAGTTACGATGCAGTTAAGCTATGTCCCAAGTATAGTACCAATCAATGCAAAAATAACGCCGAACTCAACCGAACCCGCTAATAGCATTGAATCCATAGTCGATGTCGGAGAATGCTGTAATTTTATAATGTAAACCGGCTCAGCCAGCCTACTCAATGCTCATATTCATGAACCCATCACTGGTTTCATTCATTCCCTGCAGCCCCACTCGCTTCAGGGTTCCGGTATGGTTGTTGCCATTGCGTGGCCCATTGTCGGTGGCAGGCCGGTCTGGGAACAGCGAGCCAAGGTTGGACCTCGGTGGTCCCCAAATGCTGGGACTCGTGTCTTTGACCACTGGTGAATTAGGCATGACCGGGCTGCTCTGTGCGCTCATGCTCGGGGACACCGCTCGCCGCTTGAAGAGGTTCGGATCGAAATCATCATCCCGACGGCGTTTCCTCCTGAACTCACCCACAAACCCAGCCGGAGCACCCTGGGATGCTTCACTTCGCGAGCCAGGTCGCTCGCTAGGCTTAGCAAACTCTGTAGTCGACCCTACTGTGGTAGATGGTGTAATATCCATAGCAAGGTCATCTTCCGAAACAGACGAGGCTCCATGTCGGCGTTGGGGCGGGGGCGGCGTGCGGTAGCGCTCGTCAAACGAATTCCAGAACTCGACCCCTCCTGAATTTCTATTGGCCTGGTCGATGAACCTTGGTTCGTCCGGCGTCGTTAGTCCGGCTTTTGGAGGGATCTCCTCTGGGGTTTGCCCGTGACCAACAGGGGTGGATGTATCAAGAGCCGACAGATCACCTAATGGTGATTTCGCTTCAACGTCGGGTTCGTTCTCTTTTACTTGTCGAATTACTTCCGCTTCTCGCTTGGCCTCGCTATCGATCGGGGCAGACTCCTCCATCAATGCCGCCCGGATACGCGCAAAGGTCTTTGTTTTTGGCTAAACGAGGTCAGCTGTGTTCTATTCATTCGGACTAGAGTACTTACCAGTAAGCTCCCACGACGGGTAACGGCCCGTCGTATTACCCCCAAAGGCCCGCCCTCGGAGTTCGATGTGCTTGGGCTCTGCCCACGCGCAGTGCGGTTCTCACCCTCGTCGCTGACATCCGACAGGCGCAAATCCCGCGTACCCAAGCTGAGACTGGCCCGTCGGGGACCTGCGCCAAAGTATCCTCCATTCTGTCCTTCGATACTCTTCATCACGGGTGGCGAAAGAGGGCCCGGACTCTGCTTGGAGCTGCCGCTAGCACTGCTGGAGCTGTGCCTGCTTCGTCCCTTGCGGAAACGAGCCCGTTGGAAGCTCATCAGACTCGCGGCTGCTTGTGAGTAGCCGCCCATCCACTCGTTTCCCGGGCTGGACACGTTCCCCACAGCAAACGGACTCATCCCACCTCCCAACCGCTTCGCCTGGGGTGTATTGGTGATCATCATGTCGTCGCGGTCGCCAATCATGGGTTCGTCATCCTCCTCACTGCTGCTTGTATCAGATTCCATCATGTTGACGCTGGATACGGAGCTCGAAATTGTGGCCTTGTCGGCGGGGTTCGAGGTGGAGAACTGGAGGCCGGAGACTGAAGCTGGCGAGCCACGCCGCTGCGGGATATTTACACCGCGCCCGCCAACGGTCGGAGAGGAGTCCGGGGACGCTTCTGCAAGGGTCGAGTGATGGAGATTGGTGCAAGCTCGTGAAAAGTCCAGGCCACGGGAACGACGGGGCAGCACGGAGCCCGGCGAGCCGTAGATGGCCGAGGAGTCTAGCTTCGGGGAAAGCGGGGCACGATTGGATAAGGATAACGGTCCGGAAGATCTGGCAGAGAGGTTCAACGAGAGACTCTGCATGGACGGCCGCTGGGGCATTTCGGGGGTCGAGGAGAGGGAGGAGTCATCTTTGCTGGGCGGGCGGAATTCATCGTGATTGATCGGCATGGCGGAAACTGGTTTTCCCGCATCGCTCAGCGAGCGAGTATTCGGTGAAGGGCGTAATGGAGGCCCAAGTGTAGGTGTGTTCTTGTCACCGGCATGGTCGGGATCGGTGCCTGAACTGGTTTGTCCGGTCCGCTGCGACAGTTGTTCGCTAAGCCGGCTCGCGAATGGGATAGCCCTGCTATGGGATAGAGTTGAAGGGGTGGTGGACGACGTCATGTTCGCAACTGAGACCACTTTTTACACGTGTCACGGTGGCAGTTGTGCGTATCAGACCGCATAGAACATGGTGAGCTTCTCACGAATTTCTCCCGGGGCGGCTAGTTCAGATGGTAGGCTTCTCGTAAGGTGAGGGTTAGATCGGTCAGGAGAGTGTGGCGTGGATAAAACGTGGGATGACAGTGCTAGATATGGCCTGGATGGATGAGAAACAGAGATAAACATCAGTACATGATGGGAGAGGTCAAGCAGAGCGCCAGACGCGGTTGAGGCCATCCGCACGCCCATGCCTGCCTCAGGTTGGCCAATCCTCCGCCAGTCCGGTGACGCCCTTGACGTCCTGCCCGCCACTTCCGGCCAATCACACGCTTCCTGCCCCGCCTCTAGGCTCGCCCTATGATTGGTACGCGGACCCTGATCGTCTTGATGCCTGAGGCCTTAGACACTAGATAGTAGTACTACCACCCACTAAGTACCAACGGGCTAAGCAGTCTAGCGTAGAGCTAATATCGGCATTCAATAGCAAGCTTACGATTGGGCCCGGGGGTACATTCGCTCTATCGACAACCCTGTATCCGACACTCACACATCGCCTTCAATTCTGCCGCAGTCATAAGCGGTCAATAGGGCGGTAAAGAAGTATACAGAATGCTGACCCATTGTTTTTGGAGTTGTTAGAAAATATATCCGCTTATATCCGTCTATTTCCGCAGTTTTTTCTGCGAGGTCGACAAGGTTCTGCCGCTTTGGCGGTCAGATGAGCGGTCAGATTGGGCATCATATGGTCCAACAGCGATCTTACATGCCAGTTCCTGGGACTTTGTTCTCGCGGTTAACGAGTAGTCTGGAATTCAGGGTTTGTATTTATGAAGCGTTTTGGCCCTCATGTATGATTGGTGGAGCTCAATGTAAAGAATCCGTGTGTGTCTATACCGATGAAAGCGTTGGATCTATCGGGTGGTAGTTCTTATACTACCGTCTACCGCATATACAGGAAAGCTATCCGAGTCTCGGTATTTGCTAGCCACCTGCAAGTATCAACAAATCCAGTCTAGCGCCAACAGATCTCTTTATTTGTGTAACTTACACACCTCACCTGGTGAAAAGTACAATACTGGTAGCTATGACCTTGTAAATTGCACTTTTATCGCCAACCTAAACAGGATGGATGGTCAATTTCCACCCAGTAACTACATAATGTAATTCGTCTCGGCTCGGATAAGCCATGTTTAGTTACATCCCCAACCCCGCCATTTAGTACGATCCTGGTATTTTCGATTGTAGATACTATTTCTTACCCCCGCTTTGTCTGACGCAGAGAATCTCATCAAAAGCCCTTTTCCGAGACCATAACTATCGAAATTGCTACGCCTTGCATTTTGCACAATTCTTCTAGACTGAATCATTACCTGGAACTAATCTTCTCATACAAGACACTTCAAACCGATCGCACCTCCTCAAACTCCCTTTGCCAATTATGGACCCCCGAGTAGGCGTAGGCGTCTTCGTCATCAACCACAAGGGACAGTTAGTTCTTGGCCAGCGCAAAAGCAGCCACGGCGCTGGTAAGTAATACCCTCACTAGAGTCGATTCATTCAATTTGGTCATATCATTAGTACACACTTAACCTCAATCTCACTACTTACACCTCTACACAGGTACCTGGGCCCTACCCGGCGGCCATCTCGAATTCAATGAGTCCTTCGAAGACTGTGCGGCACGTGAAGTATTAGAAGAGACAGGCCTCAATGTGCGCGACATACAATTCCTCACAGCAACCAATGACATCATGAAAGATGAGGGGAAGCACTATGTCACTGTTTTTGTGGCATGTACTGTTGTGGGAGATGATGCGCAGCCGGAGGTTAGTGATGTAACACCTACTTGCGATTTCTTCTTGTACAAAAAGGGAATACGTGCATATACCGTCAGCTAATCATTCCTTCCAGGTATTGGAACCTCACAAGTGTGAGCAGTGGAAGTGGGTGACCTGGGAAGAAGTCTCCTCGTATCATAACGATCCAAAATCCAGCCACAAATTGTTCATACCGTTGGTCAATCTGCTCGAACAGAGACCGGGATTTCATCCTGTTAGACGAGGATGATCTCAATTCTCTTTGTGTCCAAGAACCCTTTATCATGTGTACTACTTAGCGGCTATTGAATACGAAACTGCACTTAATCGCGGCTACAAGGTCGGTCTTTTCTCTATATTGTAACTAAAGGGACAAAGAAGCTAGGAAAATTGGAACGATAAATTAACGACAAACTTTCAAACTCAAGTAGAGGCATCCAAAAGAATTTCGCACGCTGAATTCAGCAAAGACCTGATCCGAGCTGAATCATAATAGGCACTATTATAACAAACCCTGATCTCCAGTTGACCCAGCCTGGTCTCCATGGAAATGAAAATTGAAGAATTAGCCGGAAGATTTATAGCCCAATAATCCTCCACGTCGATCTCGCCATATGAAGCCCGCATATACGGCGACAAGTCCCCCATATTACTGATGATAAATGTGGACATCACGTCGTTCACGACATCGGGGTCCATGTCGGCCAAGACGTTTGTCATGATTGGCATGTAGGACGTCATATTTTTCTTGTATGAAGAATAGCATTCCATCAATGCTTTTGACGTTTGTGGAAAGTTATGAATGTCAATTTGGATTGGCCACAGTCCAAAGCGCAGTGCAGCTGCGTCACTACCCAATTCAGGTGGCCCTTGGCACTGTCCTCGGAGGCTTGAAACGAGAAACGTGTTTTGTTGGACGCCGTCAGGCAGATTGCCTTGCTCTTTGGCAGCTAGAGCGATGGCAGCGTGGCCAAATGGAGTAAGTGTGAGGCCTAGATTGCGCGCTCCGGCAATGATGGTTTTTGTCTCTTTGGCCGAGAATCGGTGTCTTTCAAACCCATAATACGACTCCCGCTGCGAGGTTCCGGGCTCAGTTGCTAGGCCTAAGGTCCTTGACGCTTTGGGCTGCTTCTTTGGGAAGAACCCTCGGTGATCTTTAACCCATGATTGTGTGAGCCGGGGGATCGCAGCTGCATTCCACGTCTCAAGAGGCAGGTTCTTGACTTCTTCCCCTGGATTCCATCGGACGGTGTCCGTGATAGGACGCGATAGCTCATTCAGAAAATCATTGTACCATATGGTAACCCCGTGGCCATCTGCATGACAATGTGAAAGTTTTAGCAGGAATTCGTTGCGATCCTTGAAATGAAGCAGCATGGGAAGCTCTACTGGACCCAAGCTATTAAGCACATCTTCAGTCCCTTTTGGGGTGGAGTCAACGGATAAGAAGGTTTTCTCGGTCCAGGCCTCCAATTCCTTGCCGTATGGCACATTGTATATCCAGTTTTCGCCAACCACAGAACTTGCCATCAACGGATGCTTGTATCGTAGATTCTGCCAGGCTAGTCGCCCCTTTTTGGTCAGCTGCTCCCCAGTGAGGCGAGTCCGAACTTTGACAGCGGCAGCGACGTCGTATGTCCGGCGACCAGGTGGGTGGCTGATGGCGAATTCTCTCATCACAGCCTCCATGCCATCAAGGGGCCTGGTGTATTGCGTTTCGGATACTCTTCCCCATGTTCTTGGAACTGCTGTCGAATAGAAAGATCTATGAATAGTTGATGATATGGATACTTTTCTACACATCAGCATAAGTAAATCATGATTCATTTTCTAATGTAGAAAGGTACACTGGCCAAGACCGTCTTATCAGCTTGAAGATCGAAAGGGGTTGTACCTTGAAATTCTACCTGATGAGAACGTACGTAAGCAGCCGATATTCCCGGAACCAAAGGTAGGTAGCATTTTGTAGTCTCAGCTACCAAGGGGTGCGAAGCTAGAAGTGAATAACGTTCCTAAACTGACTCCACTTGATCTGAGCTCTACTCGAAATGAACAATAAACATTGATTTGATCTTGCACATGGAACGCAAGAACGCAATAGGCCTCGGTCCAGACTCAATGTGTACGAACCATGGGTTGACAGGAGTTAGAATATATAGCGTACTGACAGCGGGGAAAAGCCATTATTGAAGTATATTATGATATATCGGTGGCCACTCAGAATGCGTACACTCTACTGGAAGTCAGGCTCAAAGCCCCATGACCATTTTACATGCATTCACATAAGATAGGAAGTCCATTATTAGAGACAACAAGATCGAACGGACATCATTGACTGCCCTTCTCATCCCACATTCCGAAGATGGTGACACAACATAACAGGGATCTTTCCCTCTCCACCGGACAAGTCAAAGTCTAACCTGTGAATGTGTGCAGCCGTCAGTAAGGAAATTGCAGAGAAGTGGGCACTTTATCCTGAGTTAAGATTATCTTCAAACAATTCTTGAAAGCAAGGACAAACTCTTCATGCCGTGGAGGGAACTTCGACGTTACTTAAAGCAGCGGAGATACGTAATTCGACTAAGCTCCAATGTAGTGGAGAAATGCTGAGTTAATACCATCCGATGCCGCTCTGAAACGAAACTCCTTGCATGAAACTTGCCCACAGTACCCGTTCTAGTGCCGATGCGAGTACGCATGATATAATGTTGTTCTGTTAGAACATCGATGCATTATTTGATAAGCCCCTGTTTTTCATTATGCAGTGGCGGGTATCCTTCCGATAGCATCCGGTAAGAGTCTGCTCAGAAAAAGGTTTCCACGATTATTGACGTCGCAGCCCCTTGAGTATGAATGTTGATTGAGAGTGTCGGTGAGAGCGTCCAAATCCACGTGACTGGGAATACTACTTCCCATCCTCTTGTCTGGACATATGACGTTATACCGGTCAATGTTAAGGACAGCGATTATCGTTTACTGTGAAAAAGGTACATGGGATTCAAATGCATGTATATCTAGTCCGTATCTGAAGAATAGAAACCCATGATAAGAAGCTTAGAGCCATGACGTTGATGAAGGTAGAATACTTTGCTGTCCACTTCGCGGCTACCCGTCAGATAGGCTGAATTGTATGGATATCGTAATTGCTGCTGTTTGAATAGGCGTAGTTAGCTGACCTCATCAATCTCAGGAGATAGAACTTACGTGAGTTACTAGATCAATATGAGGCTAACAAGGCTATAGTCTTGTGTTTGCTATTCTAGACTCCTGCTATCGAATCACAAGCCTTGGTGGCGGCTCACGCCCAACCAGCGCTTGGGATTCAGCCCAGTAACCAATGACCGCACAGCTACAGCGGCAGCCTTACCTTTGCCCCAAACAACATAAGATCAGCTCCCATTGACATATAAAGTTAGCACCGCAGTGTGACTGAGCCTTTTATAGTCACGGGCTATGAGCCTAACTCCATGTTCGCTTGTTCCTGTGATCTGCTGCCGTCCAGGCAACATCTGACGCTCAGTTTCTCAATTTCCTGTCGACATATTCCCTTTCGCATCGCTAGATCCTCATTTACTTCTCTTCCAGTATCTATTGTCGATTGTTTCTCATATGGACTCTGTGGGGATTGAGGAGTTTCGCATTGACGAGGATGTTGTTAGCTCAATCTTACAACTGAGCAATGATGAGCTCGAAGGGTTGACAACACTCTATGGGGATTCCCCTGACGATGCAGACATTGAGCTGTTTATTTTCACTTGCTTTCTTTTGTTCAAAAGAACTGATTCTCCCCGGCGGGCTGAGCTGGCCATCAGAAAGGCTCAGAAATGGGCTGCTTCTACACCACCGGACCATAGCCAGTGGAGGCGGCGTCTTGCAATGATGAGATCAATCAGGAGCAGTGTAAACATTAGCTGGCCCTTGATATACGGAGATAAGAAATTAGAATCGGATGTTCTGCACATACTTTACAGCGGAGCTCGGTATAGACTGACTGGATCGATTGAAGACCTTAATGATACCATCAATTTTATAGGGTCTGTCTTAAGCCGAACGCCTCCAATACCAAGACTGAAGGGCATGATCGACTTAGCCCATTGGCTGGCTCAACGGTTTGAGAAGGATCGGCAGACTTATTTGGATGACCTAAAGGCTGCGATACGCTTGGTTCGTTCTGTTGCATCCGCGGAAGGGGTGGACTATTTCCAACGTGCCAAACTGCTTGTTCGAGCCAGTGAATGGACGTCTACGCAATATGAATGCGATCATGACCCGAGCACCCTTGACAAGTCCATTGAAATCCACCGTCATGCATTATCTATTGCAACTCAGTATGATAACCTTTGCATTCATTTATTTATGGGACTTTCAGCTGCGCTGATTCAGCGAGCTTCGAAACGAAGACAGCCTGCAGACCTCCAGGAAGCAACTGCAACACTTACAGGGTTGCTGGAAAAGCCCTCGCTTGATTGCAAAAATCGATTTGGTGTTCTGAATAGCTTGGGTCTTGCTATGATAAGCCATTTCGCGAACTCTGGAGATATCCAATACCTGGGTCGTTCTATTGAGTACTTTGAGGAATCACTCGACCTTGCCTCATTCAACAACTTTCCCAGCATTGCTCCCATTTTAAACCTTGTTCAAACTCTCCAGTCACTCACAGAGAGCTTGGAAAAGCCATTCTACAAGGATTACATCGATAAGGCAACTGGAATTCTTGAAGTCGCATTGCCAAACCTTGCCTGGAAAGAATTCCCATATGGCACTCTGCTCCATCCAGCAACCCTGCTCAATGATCACTTCAACAAAACTAATAGACTTGAATATCTTGATCGAGCTTGCAAATTAACCCGGTTGGCTAGCTCTACAGCGCCATTTGGTCCTGAGAGGGCTCAATGTCTGTGCATACTAGCGCAACGACTCCGTCTCTACTTTCGCCACACCAGCAGTAACGGGTACTTAAACGAGGCAATCCTTACTGCAGAACGAGCTGTTGAAATGACACCAACAGATCACCAGCAAAAATCTCACTTTATGTCTGATTTAGGGGGCCTACTCTTAGAGCGTTGGCAGACATCGAATAGTAGCGAAGACATCTTCAATGGAAGCAAAGTGCTAAAAGAAGCATCACGACTCCTGCCATCTACCGACCCCAACTGGCCCACCATAATGGAAAACACTGCTACAGCTAATAATTTCTTGTTTAAACGCACGGGCAATATCAAGTATTTGAATTGCGCTATCGATACACTCGAAAAGATATTATCAAATCACACGACTGGACAATCAGATATCTATCTATACACTTGCTTCAATTTAGCAAATTTGCTTTGCATACGGGCCCACAACAAGTGTAGAGCAGATGAAGAGGTGGACTTGTCTTCGTGGCCGTGGACTATGGATTTGCGTGAAGGTGAAAGACCCTTATCTAATGCATCCACAACGAATGTTGACCGTGCACTTCATCTCGTGAACACCGCCCTGCTATCAATTGACACCACTCACCCTGAATGGGGAAGCTCCCACAAACTCCTCGGCCATATCTACCTACACAGGTATAATATTATTCGGAGGGCTCCCGACCTTGGCCGTGAGGCATTTTCTGAGCTTAATTCTGCAATCAACGTCCAAGAGATAGCCGTGCGTTATTTACCGTCTACGCATTCGTTGCGACTAGACTTGTTGGCTGAGCATTCCGCAACATTGCTCATTCGACACGAGATTACGCATGATTCTAGTGATTTTCAAAAGGCAATTCGTTGCTGCAGAGAAGCAGTTAAAGCTCGTGAAGGCAGTCCCCGAATTCGAATAGAAATGGCCCAGGTCTTAGGAGCATTGCTTCTCAAGTCCACTTCGCATGAGGAAGCATTTCAAGTACTGGAGGAAGCAGTCGGGTTGATACCCATGGCCTGTCCAAGGTCTTCCAGTAGCTATGACAAGCAAAGTTTTCTTAGCTCGTGCTTTGCCATAGCTTCTCAGTCTGCTGCAACGGCTTTGCACACCGGCAAATCTGCATCCTATGCCCTGAAAGTGCTAGAAAAAAGTCGTGGTGTTGTAGCAGGATCCTTCCTAGATGCCCGGACCGATCTCTCTGAGCTCAGGCGTAAGCATCCGGAGCTCGCTAGAAAGTTCGAAGCACTAGCGGAGAAACTCAATCGAGATCCAGATTTGAGTGAGGGTTTTCGACTATCCAATGCAGAGAACAACGTTTTATCGCAGGATACAAGCAAATTGAACCGGAGAATTTACATGCAGCAAGACTTCAACCGGCTTGTTGAGACAATACGAAGCGAGACCGGATTGTCAAACTTCCTTCTCCCTCCGAGCGAGGAAGAGATGATGGATGCAGCTTGTCAGGGAGCGATCGTGATGATCAATGTCGGTACGCGTTCTGATGCAATAGTCATCGAGAAGCATCGAATCAGTTCTATCAGCCTACCTTATCTGTCCATGGAAGTTGTGGATCGCATCGCTGGGGAGTTTACTAAATCAAACTCTTACGTCCTGCATACATCTTCTTTCCTTCCTTCGGTGCTTGAGTGGCTATGGGTTGTCCTTGCTCGTCCTGTCTTGGATTATCTGGGATACCTACACCCCCCAGAGCAGGGACAACCGTGGCCGCACATTTGGTGGATCCCTACCTGGAGATTGGTTTACTTTCCTATCCATGCTGCGGGGATTCATAACAAGAACACTGACGAGACAGTGCTGGACAGAGTAGTGTCATCCTATGCGTCCTCAGTCAGGTCACTCATCCACAGTCGTCAAGGAGCTCTCCCAGAGACACCCTCCAGCACCACAAAGCCACAACAAGCGCTTCTTATCTCCATGCCCGAAACACCTAAACAATCCTCCCTCCCGTTCGCCGTCAACGAAATCACCACCATCAATCCCCTTATCCAAGAGATAGGTCTGACACCCACACACCGCGAAGGCGGAAACACAAACGAGGTTCTGCAATTAATGAAAAGCAGCACCATCCTCCACTTCGCAGGCCACGGAATGTCCCACGCCAGCGATCCCACTCAAAGCTGTCTTTTAACTCAAGACTGGTTCACCAACCCCTTGACAGTCGAAAAGCTCAGACAAGAGAACTTACAAGACACATCTCCGTTCCTCGCCTATCTCTCATCCTGCTCTACCGGAGCAAACAAAAACCTCAAGCTCGCTGACGAGACTATCCACCTTGTCAATGCTTGTCAGCTGGCGGGGTTCCGACATGCCATTGGGGCGCTCTGGGAAGTGTCGGATCAGCATTGTGTCGAGGTAGCGAAAGGTGTGTATGAGACTTTGAAGGAGGAGGGGCTGACCGATGAGGCTGTGGCTAGGGGGCTGCATAGGGCTACGAGGAGGGTGCGTGATAGTTGTCGGGATTTTACGATGAGGAAACATGCGAGCACGGGGATGAAAGCCAAGGAGGAGGAGGAGGACAATATAGATAAACGGTTAGGCTCTTTGGAACGAGAATTCAGAGCGTTGGGAATTGATGCGAAATTGGGCGTGAATGGCTTGGAAAGAGATATAGAGCCTGCCGAGGATAGCCCTGGTTTTGAGATACATGCTGCTTCGTTTCTCTGGGTTCCGTACTTTCATCACGGTGCTTAAATTTGTTCTGTGATTATTGCTACTTCGCCCTTATCCGAGCGAAATGTTTTTTTTTTTTATGAATATTAAGGTGGATCATTCGTCAATATATACTGTCAAGACATCTCATTAAGGCCTGATCCTTCGCCACTTATACTGCCTACATAGCCTTTCCTCATTACCACCACCACCAACACTATCTTGAGAGTCTGGTCAGATTCAACACATACACAATCTATATTGTCCCTGTCCCTTCATCTTGAGGTATACTACGCATGATGACCTCCAATGTCTGTGTGCTGGCTCGCTGCCACGCTGGCAAGTATTCATGGAGGGAGCTGATAGTTATTAGACTCTCACACATAAAGACGGACACTACAGCATAATCCAAGGCATTGAATCCTGTTTTAATCACTGTTGAGTAATGAAAACTGTCAAAACCGTTGCATACCTATCACGATAACCAGTTAGCCTCACCCCTGATATCACGAAGGTTGGGGGCATTATATGGAATACATACGCCGCACCAGCCACAAGCACCTCAACAGTCTTCGCACGAGTCCCAATCAGCAGAAAGCCGATAAATAACGTAGTCGAAGCCGTAATCACTATCAACCGCGACAGCATGCTCTCGAGATAGTTGCACGCAATTACTGGCCCTATGATAAATATAATGGCTAACAGGCCTAAAAGTCCTCGGGCAATGTGGACCACGAGGCTATCTCGGGGTATGTAGACCATGGGGTCCCTAGATAATGCTTCACATCGGCTCTTGGCATTTATTAGTGTACCAGTTAACATTGCCTAGGTCAAAAGTGCTAGACAACGGTTATATAGCAGCGGACTAACCTTGTATGATCTGCTAAATAATCTGATAAGTTTGTCTTCCACCCACCCTTCCAGGTACATTGTCGTTCCATCTTCCGATGAGAACAAAGTCATCAAGTCATCTTCGTGTTGTAGAAATCCTGTCTCGCTGCGAGCTATACATGGATTCCCAGCGATCCAGTTCTGTAGTGCTAAAGCTGGACGGGCTCTTGCTTCCTCTAGTTTCAGTATTTCGGTGTTTCTTTTTATAGTTGCATCTAATCAGGCTGGTTTAAGCATTGGACTCGTCATGACGCTACATATATATATTGTTTTTGCTTAAACATACCATATTCACGCAAAGCCACATCAATAGCAGACAGAACCTTCTGTCGCTCCACATTCCGATCACGGCGGCAACTAGCTAGAAAGGATAGAGTCTCTTCGTTCCGGTCGAGATCGTTAAGCTTTTCTTCTAGGACAGCCAGTCGGTCTTGTTTGATGAGAAGATCCCGTGTTCGGAGGGATGAAAATCTCCGATAGACTTGGAAAGATGGGTGCGAGCTCATGAATGTGGAAAATCGGGGATAGCCTGCCGGTATATCCTCGACTGGAGGTTCAGGTCAATATCTCGCTACTTAAATGGATGGTGCTGGGTATGTGCGGCGGTTGATGTGGAACTAAATAAGCCTACTTTTCTCCACTTCCTTTACACTTCCAGTTTCGATGTCATGATCTGTATCATTCTTCGCTCGGTAGAATAATCTCTGTACAGACTCCATGCTTGTCGTAGGACTGTGTGAAGGTCCAGTATGAATTAAGCATAGAGGCGCAGCGCAGTATGCAACTGTTGCACTAAATGAGCTTCATAGATTAAGAATCTAGTGAGCCTCAGAAGCTGTGGATATTATAGCGCAGAACAAAATTAATTCGCGGTATGCCGAAGAGATGGATGAGAGGAAAGCAGATGGTGGCAGTGCAAAATGAGGCTGGACGAAAGTGGGGTTTGTTAGGCAGCGGTGCAGGGGATTAGCCTCCGTCGAAGTTAATAAGGCTGTTGAGGGTACCCAGCATTCAGGGTTCGGTTTTGAACTTCTCTTCCTCTGAACTCAGGTCTACTTTCATAGGACCAATCGCTGTTTCCAAGGTAAGTAAATACTGTTACGGTGTTGCGTGGTGTTGGCCAGCTAACACCTTTAAAGTTCAATAGCAATGACCACGCCCATCAGGGTCACGGAGACCCCCGAAAAGTACAGAGTTTAATGACTTCCGATCAGGGTGACTGATGCTAATTCAAGAAACTTTGATAGGGAAAGTAGCAGCCATCTATCATTCTCGAATGATGAGAATGAGGGACGGGCCTTTGTTGCCTCGTACTCGCAGGTAGATCTACCATGATAGGCTCCTCGTTGTTCCTTGCACTGATGGAGAACCATAGAGACCGAAATTTGCCCCATGGGACAAAGTCATGCTGGTCGTACGTGGCTCCAATGGAACAGATGCCCTGGCTGGTCCATACTACATAGAGACTGTGGTTCCACCCAATAAATACACATTGTGCGATGAACAGGGGAAATCAGTTCGGCGCGGTATTTCCGTAGAAGAGCATGAAGTGAGGGTATTTGGAAAGTAGATGAACAATGCAGCGGTGTAGTCTACCAAGATTCTCTTTCTTCTGTAAAGAAGTAAAGCTCCCCGAGCTCCATGTCACATTTCTCCTGCTCCCGACCTTTATAGGGATTCGAAAGATGCCCATCTAACTATTGGGTTGTAGAGAGATTTCTTGTCTTTTGCCAGATAGCGTAGCAGTCTAAGTGTGGCAGGGGTTCCGTCCCTAAAAAGCACACCTAGGGAGCGGCTCTGACAAAACAGACTCAACTACTGCTCAATTAGATAAGGAATAGCGGAATCAGTATTTATATGATTGGTCAGTTTGGTGGTCAGAACCAAGTACTAATAGTACTTATCAGAGCCACGGGTGAGCGTGTTGTTTTGGGCAACTCGGGCCGAAAGGTTCAGGGAAGCAGGAGTGGCTTTATGACCTATTAATCAGTTACAGATTGTGCTGACAGAGTCAGCCACACCGCACAAAGTCGTTTTAGCCTGAACGTATGATTTACGCTTCATCATTGAACAAGGGTACAATTTAGGTCACGTGGCAGTCTCAGGTCCCGCTCCAGTCCTGCTGACTTTCGATAGTTTTCAAGTCAGCTTGATGCTATTCACCATTATTCAAAATGAATTCATCGTCCGATACCGCAGGTTTTCAGATAATTGGTGCTAGGAAGCAGCTTTATGTTGTGCCACCTTGGCACACGCATCATACTTCTGAAGAGAGTTGCACTGTGCTTTACCTTGTTTCCTCCCCACTACCAAGCGACGTTTCTTCCGTTGTGTTTAACATCACAACTCGCAATCAAGGATGGCACAGTAACCCACGAGATGGTATTTGGTCCTGGTTTGAGGTCTCCATTCTGAGCTCGTGGCAGCAGAATGCTATGCCTAAGTTGGATGATTTGATGAAGCCGACCTATGTCCAGCCATGCCCCGATGATTTTGGAGAATATTTGCAAGAGCAGGGACTATACTTCAAGGAGATACCTTCCAAAATAGCTGCTTCAAGCTCAGGGATTAGCATATCACTCTCTGATACAAGCATGCGTCGAAGTTGGGTGGAAATGGTGCACATCTATGGGAAGGACGACAACGCAAAGGGGGGCTCGTTTCTCCCGATCCTTGAGGAAGGCGATCGATTGGTGATTTGGGCACGGACAAAGGTATGGACTTTGGTGCAGAATCGCAGTATTCAAGATTGTGCTAATGTAGTGATAGTTCGCTGGATGGGTTAATTACATCGATCAGGCTTGTATCCTGATATCAACCAGCGTAAGTGTCAATAACATATTTGAACTTGAATAACGCATATAAGTGCTGAACAGCTAGCAGCCAATTCCCCTGTCATGGACTGTGAAGCAAGATTTGCTACTTCCCTCAAACGAGGTGAAGGGACTGATCACAGGGACCAATAGCATGACTAATGTCGACCTTATAAAGTTTGTGAGTGACTTAATAAAATTGCGACATCCTCAGCCCATCACAAGGCGCAGTGTTCAGAGTGATAGCACCCGCAGCCAGGCGGTTATTAACCCTCCAGACGTGGAGGGGGAATCAGTAAGAAGAAAACATACCTCTTCCGACCAGACACCAAAGCGAGATGAGCCAGACAGGTCCTCCCAGCAACAAGATGAACAGATCTCTCATTTAGAATCTGTTTTGTCACATATGTGTTCAGATGATTCTCGTAAGCCCGACGTACTTTCAAGCCTTGGTTTTGGCTACATGTTTCGCTACAAGAGGAGTTCGAAAAAGGAAGATATCGAAAAATCACTCGATTTGCATCGACTAGCAATGGAACAAGAACCTGAAAATCGGGAGTTTCGCGCACGTTTTGTGCTAGCCTTGCTCGATCGATATTCCGGTTTTCATGATTCCGCAGATATCGATCTAGCCATCGTCGAGCTGGAAAAGACCATCCCTCTTCCTCTGGACTTCCCTCAACGGCAAGGGTACTTGGAAAGTTTCGCGAACGCGTATAGATCTCGTCATAGAGACACAGGCAATGAGGGTGACATACAGAGATTGATCCAGCTGTATAAGGAAATTGAAACTACCTTTCCGGACGATTCCGTTGAAAAGGCCATATATACAGGTCAGCGGATGAAGTATGACGAGACTGTCAGTATCGAGGAGCGTGATATAGCACTGAGACAGATGGAAGATGCTCTGATTCCCACTCCAGCCCATCTTCAGCAATATCAGGTGTTACTCAGACTGCTTTCCAAGCAATACTACGCACGATGGGAGCTGACGGGCGATAGCAAAGATCTCGAACTGGCGATTTCTAAGGCCAAAGACCATGTCTCGGCTTTGCCTGAGAATGATGTTAGTGTGTCGTCGGCGGCGGTATATGAGTTTCTTGGTCACTTGCTTAGGAAGAAGGGGCTCAGAAGTGAGAATACTGCGGAGTTGATGGCCGCTTGCGAGCAGATGGAAAAGGCGTTGGATGCAGCTCCGCCCAACAGCATTTATCGAGATCTGATGGTCATCAAGAGGGCCGAATATCTGGCCATGTTGCCATTTGAATCCAAAAGAAGAGAAGCTTTGTTAAGGACTGCCGTCGAGAAATGTGACTACTTACACACAACCTGGTTCAACCGCTTGAGCAATCCCGCAAAGAGCAGTCTTCTAATGTTCATCAGTTGGCACTATTATAACTTATACGTATTCACCAAGCATCCGGCCGATCTCGAGCAAGCCCTTCAGTATGTGGAAGGGAAATCAGACCTGGAAAGTATAGAAGGAGGTGTGGATAAGACATTACTTCGCTGGAAAGGGGAGATGTGGCTGGTAAAGGCGAATGAAACACGGGTCACTGACGGTACAGCAACCCGCAGGGGCATGCAGTATCTCCTACAAAGCTCTGCCTCGGACAGCTCTCTGCCGAGGGAGCGTGTGTTAAGCGCTGAGAGCATCATTCGTCGAGCGAACCGCACAGGGAGCTGGGAATTGGCGTCAAAGGCTGCCGATCAGATCTTCCCTCTACTTCCCCTGATCACCAGCCGTGATCTGAGCAATGAGGACAAGATCTACACGTTGCAAGACATCTCCACTATTGCCAGCAATGCGTGTGCTGCCATTCTCATGTTCAGGCCACCTATGGAGGCACTTCTGAAACTGGAGGTCGGTCGAGGAATCGTGATGGGAGACCTGATTAACAATTCCAGTGACCTTTCAGGCCTTCATCAGGCACATCCGGACCTAGCTCAGGAATACGAAAGGCTGCGTCTCCAAGCCTTCCACAGTCTGAAGCACGAAAAATGGGAGACAGGACAGACCCAGCTACTAAATGAGCGCCGGATAGTCTTCCAGCAGCTGCAGCAGTGTGAGCGACAAATTCGCGCGAAAGCCGGCTTCGAAGGATTTCTCCATCCCATGAACATCCGACAGATGGTCGACTGCGCTCGAGAGGGCCCGATTATAGTTGTCAATATCACATGCACCAGTTCCGATGCAATATTTGTTCTCTCTCCAACCATTATCGGTCACCATAGACTGAATAGCATGATTACTCGGGCGGTGGACAAGTTTCGCGAATATCTTATGAGACACGCGATGACTGAGCTTTATGGTGATCCCTGGAGCTACGAAAAAGACCCCGGGGCAAGGGACCTGGACAGTGACTTACCTCGGGAGGCATATGACAATAACCTCCTCTCCTGGCTGTGGTATACCTGCGTGAAGCCAATACTGACCTCTCTAGCCTCTGATGGCCATATCTCCAGCGGAGAAGAGAAGAGCCGAGTCTGGTGGATCGGCACTGGGGCAGCTGCTGGGCTCCCTTTCCATGCCGCCGGAGACTATAGCCAAAGTCAGGAAAATAAAGGTGAGAGCTGCCTCGACCATGTAATCTCTTCGTACACGCCGACCATCAAGGCCCTCCATGCGGTGCGCGCAAAGGCGGCGGCGCAACAAGCATCGCGCCGGGTGAAAGAGAGACCGTCGCTTCTTGTCGCAACCATGCCGGATACACCCGGCTATGGTGCGCTGCACGGCGTCCGTCGCGAGGCACAGGGTATCAGCGACGCCGTCGGCCAATCCATGGAGGTCAAGCAATTGATTAGTCCCTCTACAGACGAGGTCCTTTCTCAACTGCAGGACTGCGATCTCGTGCACTTCGCCTGCCACGGGCACTCCGACCCTGGCAACCCGGCTAACAGCCATCTTCTTCTACAAAAGCATAGTGATACTGGCATGGTTGTTGACAAGCTTACTGTCTCCAAGCTTCTCGACACCCAGACGATATCGCGGGCGTGGATCGCCTATCTGTCCGCTTGCTCCACGGCTGAGATCCGTGATAGAAGGCTACTGGATGAGGGGCTGCACATCACCAGTGGCTTTCTAATGGCGGGCTTCACGCACGTCATTGGATCCCTGTGGCCGGCTGAAGATGAGGTTTGTGTGCATATGGCCACGTACTTCTACAAGGCGCTGATTACGCGGTATGCGACGGCGACTGATCTGAATCGCGCGGTGGCGGAGGCAGTCCACGATGCAACGCTGCAGATCAGGCGACAGTACTGGCACAGTCCGTTGTCTTGGGCTTTGTATACGCATGTGGGGGCGTAGTGAGTGTGTGGTGTATGGAAGCGGTTGCGGGTATCATCTTAGAACTCGGATGGGTCCTATACATACAATGTTAAGCTCGATACAGCTGTCTTACAATCGGGAGTGCTCAGAAGTCGCTCAATTATAAGAGAGTTGTTTGCTTATGCTATGGTAGCATCTAACACATGTGACCCACAAGGTGTTGAAAATAGGGCTTTCCGTCCGCTCAGCCGTGCTCGGTTCATCTATTCAACACGGCGACCGGACATTGTGTCTCTTTTGAAGCTACTATTGTATAGGAGCCCCATACTAAGCCATAGGGTGAGTGTGGCTGGCTTGAGTAATGTTGTTGGGAGCTCGGATGACCAGGGGGGGGCAGTAGATGGGTGAATGATTGATCCTGGTCGTAGTTTATAGTTACTATGACAAGGGGTGAACTGAACTATTGTCTGAGGAACCAACCCAAAAGATGCCAAATCCATACATACCGACTAGGCAATTCCCTGAAAGCATTCAACTTGCTTTTTTTCGTTTCCGCCTCTCGTTCATCTATACTAACTAGTAGTAGTAAGTAGTAGCGACGCTGTTTTCCGGCCAATCAACATGACCAAACTGCTAGCCAAATCAGCCGGCGCTTATCTCCACCTTCAGCCTCGCAATAGTGCCTTCATTTCCCAGCCCCTCTCGCCCATTCTTCTGCTCTTCTCAAAGCGTCTCACTTATCGCTGGTGGCACTTGGTCAAACTCTCTTCGACTTATGAACCACCAACCATAGGGCCTCTTCCATGCTACGCAAACCAGAGATTGAAATGTCACAAAAGCGTGCGCTGCTAATCGGTAGCCCACTGGGGCTGCAAGGTCCTATTCACGATGTGAACGCCATGGAAGAGCTTCTTCAAGAATTAGGCTTTCGCATAATCCGATGTTGTGGTGAAGAGGCCACCCAAGCTGGTATCCGAGGAGCATGGCGTCGGCTTATCAACGAGTGTGAGGCCAACGATGCGGTGGTTATATACTATTCTGGACATGGGAATTTGATCAACGCCTCGGGATTCGTGGGGCCTGGTCCGCCAGCATGTTACCAGTCCCTATGTCCGATGGATTATGGCCAAGGACCGGTCGACGATTTTCGCGGCATTCTTGATTTTGAAATCACTTTTCTCGTCCGACAAACGACCCAGAAGACGGAGAATGTCACTGTCATCTTTGATTGTTGCCATTCCGCACACATCACCCGCGCCCCGACTGTGCAATCAGAATCGGGCGTTCAAGCGATAGCGAGGAGCCTTCCGCGGATGGCCTACGATATCACGAGCTATGTTCGGTCTTTGCAAGAGGGATCCGGCCGTGTCGAAGACAGCTTCCTTGTGAGCCAGGATAATCCCCATGCGGTCCGCATCTTCGCTGCGGAGGTGGACGAAAAGGCATTTGAATACAGAAAAGAGGATGGGAGCTGGACTGGAGCTATGACGGAGGCGCTTATTCAAGAGATTCGGCAACTTCAGGGACGCGGCGCTTCGTGGCGAACCACCATCGTGAAGGTGCGCCAGCAGGTTCAGCGTAGGTTCAAACAGCGGCCTCAGTCGCATGGCCCCGATCAGCGTCTTTTCTTCTCCACGGATATGACCCCGGCCAATATTTTGCATCTCAAAATCCAAGAAGGGAGGGCAATTGTAGGAGGAGGCTCAGTTGTCGGAGTGCGTCGCGGTGACGTCTATACGATTCAACCTTTTGGGGATGAGTGCATAAATGATGAAAGATGCCTTGGCACTGGGACAGTGGTAGGATTGTCTGGCTTCCAGGCTTTGCTGAGCCTTGATCTCTCCCCCGGGTGTTCTATTCCACAGGAGGGAGCACTGGCCTTTACAAAAGCCGAAGAAGGCCTTTCCAATCCGAGTGTCCTGGAACTCTACAACAGATTTGCCGATGGCCCCACTATGAGGCTTACCAATGGAACCTTTTCGCTTCGATTCGCGGATGCTCATAGTAGCGAAGACGTCTCACCCCAAGCTTCAGCCAATTGCGTCCTGTCTGATGGCTCAATCATGCTCTTCACAGCAGATGATATCTTGATTGCCAAATGCAATTACACGACTGAAGGGATACTATCTACAATGGTTGCAGCGGAACAATTAGCCAAGGCGCAGCGACTTCTATATCTTCGCTGTGAGGAGTCAGAAGAGCAACTGGACCACAGGCTGCAGGTTACCCTCAGCAGGCAAGGCTCAACGGAAGGGGAGGCAGTCTCCATTGAAGGCGTAGGCATCCAGGAAGGTGAATTTCTACAAATCAAGCTAGAGAATCTCGGTTCAGAGAGGGTTTATGTGGCGGTATTTGACATTAACGTTGCTGGAAAGATCACATTGCTTACCAAGGCAACTCCGTGCGGGAAGCCGATGTCAAGCAGAATGAAGTCGACACTGGGGACTAACTGGCTGGATCAGCGTGGTTTGGGGGTTCATTGGCCTGCGGGGGTGGCCCGAGAGAGGCCTATCCCTGAACATCTGGTGGTTGTAGTGGCTGATAATGAGGTTGACCTTAGAGCGCTTGAGACAGCAGAGAACATCCTCAAGCTACGCGATGTCCAGCGCGCACCGGAGATTCCTCATATTTGCTGGGATGTACTTCACGTTGGGTTTAAGCTCTTGCCCACGTCTGCTGCTGAATGCGTGGATGGGGCTGCACCTGCCTGATCCTGTCGGCCACGATTGATCAGTAGATACACAATATAGCTACCACATATTTGCGTCAAGGATTATTCTACCCACGAAGCACTGATTTTAGCCGTCCGGCTCCCATGATTTACAAGGCTATGCACACCCCCTGGGTTTTACCTTTCCATCCACTCAATGATGAGTGGCGTCTCAGTGCACTACGTGAGGCGTCCAATAAGGTGGCAGAGAGCCGACGATCCCAGTGGTTGATGCCTGCTGCACGACGAGGCTGAGGCTGAGGAACGCTTATGAGTGAGGTATATAAGGGACGTCCAGCCGACAGGCAAAAACCCCAGAGCCCTCCAACTCCTCTTTTGAAAACTCTTCAATCTACTACTCAACTGCGAGTGCCAAACATTGTCTCTGGCTTATACGACCAGAAAATAGGTTTTCATCAACCATGGCATCTCCTACGAATCCGAGGAATTTCAGCCCACACGGCAGCCGATCGCAGATGATGCAAGTACCACCGCCCAATTGTCGCATGACTTCAAGCCCATGGACAGCAATGTACCTTGTCTCACCTCCCCTTCCCCGCGGAGTCACTGCTGTCCAGTTTAACATCACGAGTCATGACCAGGGTTGGTGCAGTAACCCAAGTGATGGCATCTGGTCTTGGTTTGATGTATCCATCTTGGGCTCCTTGCGAGAGGATGAAATTCCCGCCTTCTCAGACTTGTCGGATCCTTCATACCTCAAGCCCAAACCCGACGATTTCGGCCAAGTTTTGCAGGACCGGGGTTTGTATTTCAAGGACATCCACAGAGAAAATCAAGCCACGCCGGGCATTACGAAGCCAGTGACGAAGAATAAGATAAACAGGTCCTGGAAACAGCAAGTTATTACTTGGAGACTGGAAGATGGTGGTGAGGAAGCTAGCTTCCTGTCCATTCTTGAAGAAGGCGATCGTTTAGTCATATGGGCGCGCGCACAAGTATGTCGGCAATAGTTATCATCAACTATAACAGGTGCTGATTATGCTTTGTCAGTTCGCTGGATGGATTAATTTTGTCAAAGAAGTCGAAATAATGGTATCAATTGACGAGGTGAGCCGACTCGGGTCAGTTGCGCTGAACATGTTACACTATCTGACACCAGTCGATGTAGACAACTCCGGCAGTGCAGGACCTTGCACAGCCTGCTCTTCCCCTTCCTGCAAGTGCTAATGATTCTGGTACCTTCCATAAGGAAACAACTATTCCTTGTCATGCCCATGGGGCCAAGGGCGGGCCTTCTCATAATGAAGTTGACAATGATATCTTCGGAGCGTCACAGTCCTTTCATTCAAACCTTGATGACAAACGGTATCTCGATCGACTGAACCAACAGCTGACGCAATATGAAGCGGTCCTTGATGATCTTCCCGTTGACCATGCCACTAGGCCAAATGTCCTTAATTTGATTGGACTTCTGCTAGAGTTCCGTCACAGCCTGACCGGGAGCATAGCTGACATTGGGAGATCAATCGCTTACCTGCAGCTCGCCGTGCTACTCAGGCCAGACGAGCCAACGTTTCGTCAAAACTACGTGAGGGCTCTCGGCGACAGGGGTAAACGCGCCTCACATGGGTCCGATCTCAATGTTGCCAGCGATGAATTAAAGAGTGCTCTGGCATCTCCTCATTGGAGTGAATCACAACGGATGGATTTGGCACATATACTAATACCGGCCTACCTCATGCGTCACGAAAACACACAGGACAAAAGGGATCTGGAAAGGGCATGTGATATTATACATGAGCTAAATGGCATCTCTCGGATTGACCCCTACACAGAAGCCAAATATCTGGATTCACAGCAGCTCTTAACGAGCATGCGGCACGGTGATTTAGATAGGAGCTTAAAGAGTATGGGACATGACATAAAACAGGAAGAGTTGCTCCAGCGAGAACACCTTGACATGGTCATCTCAACGACAGAGAAGGCGCTACTTAATATTCCTCAGAATGACCCAAGACATGCCGACCTTTTGGAGTTGCTGACTCTACGATATTATAGGCTCTACTGTCACACAAGCGAGCTGAACCACCTTGACTCTGCGATCTCGCACGCTGAGAATGCTTTATCGCTTTCTCATTCAAAAACTCCTTCAGCTACATTGAGCCCAAGGATGCATTTGACTATCTGCCGCATGGACAGATGGTACAGAAAGCATGATATTGCAGATCTTCATGAGGCAGCGTCACATAATTGGGCGGCTATATGTGCTGCTCCTCCATTTGATGTACTACGAACAACTCTGCTTGTTAACGCTTGCAAAATTTTGGACGCTCAATACTCTGTGACTAAGAACATAGACTTCCTGGAGATCGGAATAGCGAGGCTAGAAAGTCTAAGGAATGATTTTTCGGAACGCCTCCATGGGGGCTTCAAATTCTACTATTTCTATGGACTTGGGAAGCTGTACGAAACGAAGTTTGGTGTGACAAGAACACTCCAAGATATGGAGCAAACTATTAACCTGGTTGAAAGAGCTGTTGCTTCAATCCCAAAAGGGACTCCGCCAAAAGCAGAAATGACTCTCAAACTTGGAAGCCTTTACCTGTCGAAACATGTTCTGACGAAGAACATTGAAGACGTCCGTACAGGATATACACAACTGGCGGAATCCTGCATCGCGTCCGATGCGTCACCTTTGACGCGAGTGCGGGGCGCTAGTGAGATAATTCATATCTTTACTCATACTGGTCAATGGAAGGATGCATGCTATTTTGCTGAGTGGTTTCTTCCCTCACTCGCCCATGCCAGTGGCCGCGAAGTAGAGAGGGATGATCAGATTTACATCAACCGACAAGTCAGGGGCTTGGGGAGTCTGATATTTACTGCAATTTGTCGTCTGGGCTTCCCAGTCCAAGCGGTCTTGAAACTGGAGTTCGCACGAGGCCGCATTATGGGCCACTTGATTGACGCGCAGAGTGATATTTCTAGCTTGAAAACTGTCGAGCCCAAGCTGGCTGAAGAATATGAATCTCTTCGTCGCAGAGCATTCAACAACTCTTTGGATTCAGCATATCAAGACATGCAGCAATCCCAAAGCCGGCACGATTATTTCAGAGATTTGGAAGAATGCGAAAAGAGGATTCGCCAAGTTACAGGTTTCCAAGATTTTCTCCAGCCTTTGGATTGGACGGACCTGCCAGGGATTGTACAAGCAGGACCTATTGTTATCGTCAATTCGACGTGTGTCAGCACCGATGCCATTCTCATTACGCATCTTGGAGCTAGAACTCTGAATTTACCAGATATGGCTACCAAGGCTCCGCCAGAATATCGACAGCTCTATTCAAGATATGGACATACTCAAGCCGGTGATGGATGTCATTTGGATGTGAGAGACATAGAGTGTGAATTGTCACCAGAAGACCTTACCCACGAATTACTATCGTGGCTGTGGTACACCTGCGTCAAGTTGTGCTTAGACGCATTAGCGTCAGATGGTGTCCTAGCCTCCGGGGATAAACTGTCCCGAGTTTGGTGGATCGGAGCCGGCATAGCCAGTGCCCTGCCCTTTCACGCGGCCGGGGACTACAGTAATGGGTTACCGAATAATGGAGACAGCTGTCTTGATCGAGTTATCTCGTCCTATACCCCGACAATCAAAGCACTATGCAATGCCCGCCAGCGAGCATCCGAGGCATTACCACGGACACACGACACATCTTCTTTACTAGCTGTGACCATGCCTGAAACTCCGGGACATGACGCACTTTACGGCGTTCGCCAGGAAATAAAAGGTATCATCCAATCAGCCGGACATGCATTACAAATCAAGGAGATGCAAGGCCCCTCGACTGCGGACGTTCTGTCTCACCTCGAGAACAACACCACTGAGATGATCCACTTTGCTTGCCATGGGTACTCCGACCCAGTCAATCCACTAGACAGCCACCTCGTTTTACAGAAACATGGACAGCAGGAAGGAGACCCCTCCAGCACGGTACTAGTACCCGATCAGCTCAAATTGTCTGCACTCCTAGACACAAAGACTATCTCCCGAGCATGTATAGCCTACCTATCCGCCTGTTCGACGGCAGAGGGAAAGGATCAATCGTTGAGAGACGAAGCCCTCAGCATAGCCAATGGGTTTTTGGTTGCTGGATTCTCTCATGTCATTGGTTCTCTTTGGGCTGCTGATGATGAGGTATGTGTTGATATGGCTGCTTCGTTCTATAAGGCGTTGGTTTCTAGGCGCGTGGCTGCAGACTCGGGAGATTTTAATCGGGCTGTGGCTGAGGCGGTTCGTGATGCTACGTTGGAGACTCGGAGGAAGTATGCACATAATCCGGCGGCTTGGGCTTTGTATGTGCACATGGGAGCTTGAGTTGATATCAGCGTAGTTATCCGTACTAGGAATAGGAGCTGGTTTTGGACCAATATAATTGATAGAATATAGTATTACGAGAAGGTCAGACATGTTATTTTAGGGCGTACTTCTTTCATTCATGAGAGACATCTGGGCGTCTTTATGTCATTACGGGTAAAGAGATAATATAAATAATGTGAATATGTCCAATTTATCAATCTGAGTCCAAGTCACTATACATTGAAGCCAAACAAAGTCCCAAAACCAGTATACCTAATCCTACAAGAACATTCAAATCATATAGTCATTTAAGCGCTCAAAACAAAGCGCTGTGTCCTCATTTTCCTGCCCACCGCACTTGCATAGCATATGTTAGCGATATCCCGCACATCCAACACTTTCTCGTTTTGCCACCAGCGCACCTCAAGCCAAACTCATCGCCGTGCTTATCGGCGCAACATACCACTCCCAATCATTACATCCCGCAATACTATCATCCGCTGCATCCACCGGCGACCCCTTGAGCATATCACTATCCCGGGCCTGCCAAATCTTGACAATGACGGCTCTCGTCCTCGCCACATTCGACACACTTGATTCCGCCATAGCCGCCAACGCACGCAACACCAGAGGCCGACCATATACCACGCTCTCGCCGGTATCATCACGCCAGACTTCGTCGTGAAGCGGGTCCAATTCAACGGCCGCTACGAACACAGGCCAGGTCATACTGACGAGGGAGCCGGAGTCGAGCAGGTCAGAGACTAGACGCAGGATGCGTCGGACATAGTTAATTACCAGTGGTGTGGAGGGAGATGCGCCATATAGTGCGCAGTGAAGGTATAGCACGGCTGCTAAACGTTTCAGTTCGGCGGCGGAGCGAAGACTTCCGTCGTCGGTGTCGTTGTCGTCGTCGGTTGTTTCTTGAACAAGGTTCTCGAGTCTGCGGCCAAGGGAGGCGGCACGGTGGGAGAACGCTTTGCGGGCAGCATCGGAGGTGAGTTGGCGCCTGGTGCGGCTCATTTCTGTAATTGAGGAGAGGATGGAGACAAGTTCGGGGCTGCAGCCCATCCAGAGGTCGATGTGGCGGTTGTTTTCTTGCCAGTAGTCGGATCCGAAGAGGACTTCTTCGCCGCAGGCGGTGCGGCCCATGACGTCTTGAAAGGCGAAGAAGAGCTCGGCGAAGGCTGAGACGGGGTCGAGAGATTGACGGGGTCGGGAGGAAGTTAGTTGTTGTTGCTGCCGGCGGATGCGGATCAATTCTTTGGCGCCTTTTAAGTGGATGGTCCAGCGTTGGTCGCAGTTGTCGACGATTTCGTAGAGACATAACATCATCATGATCGCTAGGACCTCGGGGTCTGCGGAGCAGAGGAGGGAGCCTTCGGTTGAAAGACGGTGGCGAAGGCCTCGTAGGGCTTCTGATTTGAGGCGGAGGCCGATGACACTGTAGGTTGAGTCGAAGCGTGACCAGTGACATGCTCCAAGAGCCTGAATGGCTTTGAATAGGATTGGAGATGCGGACATGCAGAAGGGGAGGATGATGGAAGCAAAAGGGGAGGATAGCTTCGAGCTAGCGGTGGTCCGGGGACAAACTTGCTGGAGATAGTAATCAAAGAGGAGACCCTGATTGGAGTCTGAGAGACTGGGGAACATCGATAAAGGCGGGGTCAGGTGCGGAGAGACAAGTGGGACAGGCGAGCAGTAGTCGGAAGTCTCACGTATCGAGAATGGAGACGACAACGATGAGGGTGATAAAGACCACTCTGGATTCTCATCTAGCAAGTCATCCAGCGCCGGGTTCTTGCCCTTGTCCCGGACGACAAGAGCATTCAACTCATCACAGGCAACATTAACCTCATAAGGCTGTTCAAAAGTCGAAACCCCACTATTGACGAAGCCCCACGACTCGATAAGGGGAATAGGACACCATTCCTGATCGCGAAGGAGGAACGAAGCCGAAGACTTTCCAGGAGGAGGAGGAAGTCCGCCGGCAGCCCGAGCCTTACTCCAAACGCCGGCTCTACCAAAAGCCAAGCCGCGGCTAACGAACTCGGACTCCCACTTGAGAACGAGTTGGGTCGAGCATACTAGACCCTTCTCAAGGCACCTGGTGCAGATCGGTTTCTTCAGATCGCAGCGGACTCGACTGGCGCGGCATTCTTTACAGCCACTGCGGCTTCGGGTCTTGACCGGACCCACGCGGTCTGCAGCCTTCTTGCGCGGCATCCGACTAAGGGGAGGGGCGTCTTTACATGGCCGGGCAAAGTTCCAGGAGATCAAAGGGGGGATGAAACCTTCTGGCTCCGGGTTGCAGGAGCGAAAGAGCAGCGAAACTCCTCGCTCGGAGGGAGACGTGCACTTTCGGCTTCGAGACCACCACCACCCGTGGCGAAGTCACAGCGGATCCCCGAACGGTGAACCCAAGAGGGGCAACGGTGGGCTTGAGGAGATCCCTGTAGTGCGCACTGGGATTGGCGTGGCGAGCTGAGCGGATAAGAGCTGCCGTGGCTTAATCTGAAGGCGCTGCGAGGCTTATCGACACTATGACTAGTGACTTTAGATAGTTGGCTATCACAATCCCCGAGGGGATCAGGGCGCTGATAATGTTGACTAATGCCTGACTACGCACTGGGGTAATTCCGATAACAAGGGACATCTATTTTTCCGTTCCGATGGCAGCTTAGATTTCCGGAAATCAAGAATCATTACACTCTTAGTGCTAAATAACGCGGCTTTTCTTCCATCAAATGGCCTGCTGGCCCAATGGTAAGGCGCTTGACTACGGATCAAGAGATTGCAGGTTCGAGTCCTGCGTAGGTCATTGGTTATTCTTTCTATCAAGCCCGGGTGGTCTAGTGGTATGATTCTCGCTTAGGGATACAAACCCAAGCATATCTGCGAGAGGTCCCGCGTTCGATCCGCGGCTCGGGCCTTGAAAAGGAAAACCATCTTTTTTTGTATTTTTTTTGTGGGTGGTAGGGCTGGTGCAGTGCTGCTAATCACTCTGGTTGGCGACACTGAAGTGTGACTGAAGATATATATATAAGCACTCCGTACCGGAAGAAGCGTAGAAAGGTTATCGATCTTAGTTTCTTCATATCTTTTATGATATAGTAAGTTTGCATAGAGGATACAGCCTAGATCCTAGGCGATGAAGATATGCATAGCATCGAGCAACATATATGCAGGCTCAACCGGGCTATAACAGAATCAATCGATCAACCCAACGCTTCGAAAAAGCCATGCATCCCTCCATGGTTACCATACAACATCTCACATGACCCAACTTAATTACCCATCATACACTCGTCAGCCTCTGGTCGAGATCTGATCTGCTCTTCGTAGCCCTCAAGACCATGTCGCCGGTCCAAAGGTCTGATTTCCCTTCAGCTCCAGCCACGGCGTGCCCTTGCTATCCACCGTCCCACTATTGACCGTGTTACCCCACCAGTTGAAGGTAATTCCCGGGAATGTCAGCGCGAAGAAGATCACTATGGCTCCGACGGCAACCCCTGAATCCAGTGCTGCAGACAGCACGTAGTTGTACTTAGCCCACCAGTGCGGCTTGCGACCTTTGATGATCTGTAATTGGTTAGAGTGTCGCTCTGGGTCGTAATGTTAAATGAGAGATGACTCACCTTGTTGAAAATAAGACTGACTACAAACGCTGTGGAGTAGTTGATACCCGTCTACCGCTATCAGTTAGCATAGAGAAACACTCTTGACAAAGGGGGTAATCCGTACAGCAGGAGGCAAGTTGCCCGTGCCAGCGAAGAAAATCGGCCAGTGGATGGCATCCAGGAACCGGGACTTCGGGAATTTCTTGCGCAAGGCAAAGGTGATAATAGGAAGCAACGCTCCGATCCAGAAAAAGTGCAGAAGACCGGAATATATCTTTCCGATATTGTATAGCCTGGTGGGTCCAATAGCTGTAGCATCGTCAGTGAGATCCTAGTGCAGGCCAAGAGGAGCGACGGAGGCCATACCTCCCCAAAGAACGGCACTATTATAGTTGACCCGACCCTGCGGGCAAGTAAAGTTGTCCGATTGGTCATCCGAGCACACGTCTTGCACATTTCCAAGCATCCAGAGCAGGACCCCGTCTGTCCAGGTCAGCGGTCAGCAGCCAAAAAAGCGGATATACAGCCGTCACTCACTCTGCGTCAATGTCCCCAGGATGCAGGCAATCAGCTGGGCAACGAACAGAGTCCGTCGAGGAATCTTCATGTACATTCCAAGCTGGATATCATGCATTAGTACAGACGCTTCTTTATCAGGTTCGCACAATCCACCAACCTTCATGTCTGCGCCGTAATACATGGCTTGACTTAGCCCAGTGTATGCATAAAACTATCGTTTCTGTCAATGAAGACTTCGCAGATGAGATGTCTTAACATGGAATCCCACCTTGAATATCAAAAGAACGAGCGGCTTCCCTTTCAGCAGATAGCCGGATACGATCTCTCCCAGAACGGTCAGACAGTTGCTGTTAAGGTTTGCCACAGCATATACTGTTCCAACTGGGATGACATAAATGGCAGCCAGGGCCAACGTGATAAACAATCCCCAGAACGGAAGCCCCGTATGCCAGACATACTGTGTCATGATCGCAAGCGCAACGATAATAACCTTTACTGTTAGCTTGTTCAAATTAGAAGGAAGTAATGCTCACAGTCAAGGCACCGTACCACCACCACGGTACGTCAGGATACTGAGAAAGCAGCCTGGCGTGAATATCTTTTTTGCTCTCCCCTCGAAACGTTTTGATGATATCTTTCGTATGGTAGAGTAGTACGTGCGTAATCAAACAAGTCAGGACTGCAAATCCTACTCCGTAACTCAAGGAGAAGGTTACCGGCAAGAAAAGGGGGCTATACGCTTTATACTTGTCCTCATCGAAGACTCCTTCGCTGTTCAAGATGCGACTCGAGTCGTAGACACTTCCCGTATTGTCATATGCATCGGAGCTTGTGAGTGGGAGATATGCTGTGTACCACGTGTTGGTATAGTAAAGGATTGGGGCCGCCACAGCATATATCAAAAACCAGCCGGCAAAGACATTGGCCTGTGCCCAGTACGGGATGGTCAAGGGTGATGTGTTATACGCAATCTGGCTCCAATCGAACGTCGTGGGCATATATCCCAGACCCGTGGTCATACCAAAGAGGTTGTTGACGACCTTATTGTCTAGATATCATGTTAACTGAGAATGCCTTTTTGTGGGACAACGTATATCTCAACATACTAGGAGCTGCCCAGCAAATGAAGGCAAAAGTACTGAGACCAGTAAAAATATAGCCAGGGAACCAATACCAGCAGAAGCTTCCAATGCAAACGAACAGGAAGAACCGATATCGCGAGATCTTCCAGCCGTCTGCAATGGGGTTTGCACCACTGTGCAGTGTCTGAAAGAGGGCTGCGTTTGCCAGTGTAGAAGGCCAAATCTAAGCGAAGCTGGTTTAGTGTAGAGCTTCCCCAAAGTTTGTCTGCCAAGGCTTACCATCTGAGGCGGCTCGATGATGTATCTGTATGACAAGCCAGCAAGCCCAAGACCAAACAACTGCATTGACAGAGATAGCAGGATCTGATATCCTACAGGCGTTGACATCTTGAGATACACCTTTTGTGCCTGAATGATAGCACTTGCCTATCGCATATGTCAGTAATCGTTATTCAACTGAGCCCTTTCCTAGCTGACAGGAGCTTACCCAAGACTGGTTGAAGCTGAGATTAGACATGATCGTAATCACAGCGTGCTCCTTGATATTGAAGTGGTGATCCGGGTTTATGTCCAAGTCCCAGCGCCCAAACAAGCGCACCTTCATGATGGGCAGGGCTTTGGCAAAGAAACATCCCACAGGGTAACTAAGAAGCTGCGCCACCAACGAAGTAATTGTCACACTGGGATACCGCATAGAAAAGAACTGATTGACGCCTGTGCCAAGCTTTGAAGAATGTCAGTGTCTTGATACGATTACATGTCTCCTGGGTACCCACGAGCGTGAAGACAACTCCCAGAAACCACATTCGAAATGTGTTGACGGGCAAAGTAGGGTCATCCGTGTTCGGCACATTGGCTCGCACTTCCAGGTAAGGAGAATTGTCCGATTCGATGGTATACTCAACATTGCTGCTTTCGCCAAGGGCAATGTCTAGGGCGTCTGCAGTGGCCACGGGCTTCTTAAAAATACCATCGTTGTGGAGCGTAGGATCCCCCGCATATTCCTCGACATCTGCATCATGCGAGGTCTCTGATATATAACGAGCCATGGCACGTGCTATCAGGTACTTATAAACTGCCTATTCCCTCCAAGAACAAAAGTCAAAGGGGTTAAGACACTGCTCCCGATGCCAAAGGGAAGTATAGCACCACAACCAACAGCGGCTATCTCCCCCTTTTTATAAAGGGATACTGCCGGCTTGGCTTCTCCCGGCATATCATATCAGCGGACTTCATGTCGCTGTGTAGATAGGGCCAGAGTGCAGCGAAGAGATACGGCATTCAGTGTCCGCATTCTAGGCTTGTCCCAGTAGGACAGCCTGTATGAGTGCAGAGGCACAAGACCCGGCCCATGGTGAAGTGAAGAAGTAGATATGCGGCAACGACTGTTATTGGACCCATGATAAGCTCAAAGCAAGCCACAAGACGGTTTATGGGTGGGGGAATATTTAGGTAAGGTCCAAGCGAACGAATAGCCGGAATGCACCTAGTGGCTAATGCTTTGTTACGGCAAGCCCAAGTTCTGGTCATCCAGGTGCTATCCCGCATTTAGGCTAATGCAGCCCTCTGTCCATCCGCCAGTATCGTAGCATTATTTCGTGGCGATGATTCGACATCGCAACTACCGGGAGGGAGGGGGCTCTCGGTCTCGCTCCGCACATCCTTTCGGATTGGTTGGCCGACGTCGGCGGAAGGCGGGCCATCCAAGCACGCAAAGATAAAGCTAGTAGTATTGCAGCTTGAGCTTTGGTGCGCCAGGATAAGACTCGTTGGACAGTGCACGCGGGGGGGAGGGTTTGTGTTTGTCGGGCCCATAGGGTAACCGGGCGGTCGCTACCGGTCGATAACAACCGCGTGGACCTTCCTGCCTATCGGTGGGTAAGAGAAGCCCGACATCTGATGATTCATGGCCCTGGCGGTCACCATTGTAGTACTGTAGTATAAGAGGGCCACGTCTCGTATATCATTTACAGGATCCTCCGATCCCATCAACGAATTGCTTCAGTTGGAACACTGCCCAGGTCAAGAGCCATTCAATTGGTGCGGCATTGCGAATTCTTTCTTTCACTACCCCCTCTACCATCGTTGGCCGCGTCCAACAACACTTCACAATGGCAATCACCAAGTCTTCGTCCATTTTGATTGTTGGTGCAGGCACCTGGGGCTGCTCGACTGCCCTGCACCTGGCTCGCAGAGGCTACACCAATGTGACAGTCTTGGATCCCTACCCTGTCCCCTCCGCTATTTCCGCAGGAAACGACGTCAACAAAGTCATATCCTCTGGCCAATATAGCAACAGAAAAGATGAGATTGAGGTAAACGAGATTCTAGGGGAACAAGCCTTCCAAGGATGGAAGAACGATCCTCTCTTCCAGCCATACTACCACGATGTCGGCCTGCTCATGTCGGCGTGCACATCAGCTGGCCTGGACCGCCTTGGTGTCCGAGTAAGGCCCGAAGCCGACCCGAACTTGGTGGAGATGTCGCGGCCAGATCAATTCCGTGATCTTGCTCCTGCTGTGCTCAAGGGAGATTTCCCGGGCTGGAAGGGTTACTTCCTTCGCTCTGGTGCCGGCTGGGCTCATGCCCGAAATGCTCTTGTCGCTGCCGCCAAGGAAGCACAGAGGCTCGGTGTCAAGTTCGTTGCTGGTTCGCCTGCAGGCAGGGTCATCACCTTGATTTTCGAAAACAACGATGTGAATGGTGCCGTAACTGCTGATGGCAAAATCTGGCGCGCGGAACAGACAATCCTGTGTGCTGGTGCAAGTGCAGGACAATTCTTAGACTTCAAGGACCAGCTGCGCCCAACTGCCTGGACGCTCGTGCACATCGCTCTGAAGCCCGAGGAGCGCGCACTCTACAAGGACATGCCTGTCATCTTCAATATCGAAAAGGGCTTCTTCTTTGAGCCGGATGAGGAGCGCGGGGAGATCAAAATCTGCGATGAACATCCAGGATACACAAACATGGTCCGGTCACAAGATGGCAAGCTTCAAAGTCTTCCGTTCGAGAAAACACAAGTGCCCTTGGAGTCCGACAAGAGGGTCCGCGCACTTCTCAGAGAAACTGTGCCTCAATTGGCAGATCGTCCGTTCAGCTTCGCGAGAATTTGCTGGTGTGCAGACACCGCTAACCGCGAATTCATCATTGACCGTCACCCACAGCACAAATCACTGATTCTGGGATGCGGTGCTTCTGGCCGAGGTAAGACGTCATGGCCCTGAGCGAGATGCGTTTCCGCTACTAACCCGCACCTTTAAATAGGCTACAAATACCTACCATCCATCGGAAGTCTCATTGTTGATGCCATGGAGGGCAAAGTCCCTCAGAAGGTCCACGATCTCATCAAGTGGAGCCCAGAAATTGCTTCGGATAGAAACTGGAGCGACACTTTGGGACGGTTTGGAGGGCCCAACAGGGTGATGGACTTCCACGATGTCAAGGAATGGACCAATGTACAGCATAGGGACATTTCCAAGTTGTAAGAATAAGTATGAGTAATTTAATATCCAAAATTAACAGCATTGGTCGGACAATACAAGTAAATGGCTACTATGAAAGCGAGCGTCCAAAGTAACAGTACATCGATAAACAAAAATCTAGGGTATCACAGAAATGAACAGGGGATGGTTGAAAATGTGGCAAATGGTATCTACCCCTTAAGAGGATGCAGACTCCGCAAGTTGATAGGATTCCCGAGCATCCCATTGACGCGCAACAGATGCTGAGCCCGGCAGTTGCTGTTCCTCATCACCAGGCAGTTTGGAGAATCCATCTGGGCCGATAATATCGTCTCTGCCATAGGGGCAGTCGCACTTGATTGACCGAAGGGCCGGATAATATCGTCGGTACGAGAAATAAGCTACCGTCAACCCAAGCAGCGATCCACAAGTAACATCGTACACATCGTGACGGTAGTCGTCCAGACGAGAAATGGCAATTAACAGAGCGCCGAGGAGCGGAACAAAAGCCACAAGGCAGCGACAGAGGTCGGTCCTCGGTCTGAAGACGTGCATTTGACCGGAGAGGAATCTGGAAAAAAATCAGCGTGCTTTCTCTGAGCTCTCGCAGCATTGAAGCTTACAATGACATATAACCGAGTCCACCAAATGAGAAGCTACTGTGGCCACTGGGAAAACTCCTCCATCCTTCTTGTAGGATGTGCTCGTTGGTTTGAGTGCACACCGTCCATGAGACCAACAAATCCTTGGGGGTACCCTTCCTTGGTAAACAGCGAGAAATGAAATCAGGGCGAGGTCGCCCAGCGGCGTTCTTTATGATATCGGTGATAAGGCTCGTTAGCATAAGCGCGATGAGGAAGCCCAGCAAGGTCACTTGGACCTTGTGAGGATATGGACGGAACACAGCTGCCCAGGCGAGGAGGACAAGAAACGGAATGACCCCAGCATAGACGATAGACCAAACTAAGAATCAATAGTAAGCAACAAGAAAAGTCGACGGTGACGGGGCAGGGTGCAGCATCTCACCAACGGGAACTCTCTCCACGACAGCGAAGGGATACTGGATACTTTTATTGTCGAGGGAGAACATGCGATGAAAGGGGGTCGCAAATATCTGAATCTACATGGGATACTCTAATTAGTGTATGAGTCAATTGAGAGGCAGGTCTGAAGACGTACCAGTATCCAAGCCCCTACAATGCACGCCAGCGCGACAGCGTCGACGACCGGGTACGAGCGCTGATACAAGCGGGACATTGTGCCAGTTGCTTCTCTCACTGGAGAGCGGGGGCTTGCTGAGCCAGCAGCAAGACCACTGCGAGGCATTTTGTAGCGCTTAGTTATAATTTACTGCGCTCATGAGAAGCCAGAAGGGATTCGCCGTTTGGCTGGATAGAGAGTTGGTAAGTTGTTGCCCAGCGGAGGCCGTAGTTGATGGTGAACAAGAGCAAGTGGCCGCCTGGCATGAGCACGGGCCAACAACACCGGACATCTCCGCATTGCACCGACTTGCCTGTCCACATTCTTCCCTGCACTCACCTCTGATCTCGTGTCCATCGCGTCCTACCAACTACCCACAGTTAACTATCGCTCTACAATTCTTCGGATCCGCGAGAATACCATGGCCGACGCCGCACAGCAACGGACGCTCGCGACTGCCTTTGCCCCGCCGCCTCCGCTATGGAAACACTTCACGCCCGATAATCTGAAGAGACTCGAGGAGATCAAGAAGGAGGCATCCAAAGGCGAGGATGGGAAACCGCAGAAGAAGAAGTGGTCGCCTGCCGAATTGCGCGCTCTCGATCTACCACCAGAGCTCCGGCTTCTCGTGCCACCAGCGATCCCTGACACCGGCCATTACAGCGTGTTCGGAGAGCTTCAGAACGTAAGTCTTCGATCATTCTGCCACTGTGTCTCTGCTGCTCACACATCACCACAGCTTTCGACAGCTTTACCGTCCCTGAAAGATCAAGGCATTACCCAGCTATACCCTTCCTCCTCCCCGGCAGATACCGACCGTCAATCTCCCTCAGAGCCTTCGCGGCCGCTCAATCACGCATACTACCTCCTCAAAATCAGCAAATCTCTTCTTTTAAACTTCCTCGAATTTGTCGGCGTTCTATCAGTATCCCCGGAGCAGTTCGAATCCAAAGTCGAGGACTTGCGTAACCTCTTCATCAACGCACATCATCTCCTCAACTTGTACAGACCACACCAAGCTAGGGAATCCCTGATCATGATGATGGAAGAGCAATTGAGTCGAACCAAGGAAGAAATTCAGCAGATGGACAAACTGAAAGCCGAGATAACGGGTGTTCTAGAGCGGTTGGAAGCAGATGGCATCGCTGCGCAGTCACATCCCCAGCAGACCGATGAGGACGGCAGAAAGGAGTCTGAAACCAGTCAAAAGACCATCGAAGATGCACAATTAGTGTGGGATCTCCTGGATGGGAAGATTGAGGGTTGAAAATCTCGAATGCCGATAGCCTCGCGATTGTCCGATAACAACCCACAAAAGAAGCAGTTAGCTCCTGCTACGAACCTCCGATTGTATAGCACAGATGCAGATCGACACCATAACATCTTGGTGGGAATACGACCAGATTGCGAAATTATTAACGAACTATACATCTCTACTGTCGCGACCAATCCTGGACAGAGATCGTTCAACAAGCAACAGGGATCGGGCCAAATACAGGCAGATACGGTCCACTGCTACCATTACCCAAGCATTCAAAACACAACATACGAGATTCACAACGGGCACCATGGACTAGAAAGCATCCACTTTTCGATACCCATAAATTCCACACTGCGGTCGGGAACAACATGGTTCCGCGATGATCACGTGTCGCGCTAACGGCGCGCGTTTAAATTCCCACCAAATTTTCTCCCGCAACTCTTCTTCAGTTCTACAACGACGAAGATTCGACATAGCCAAGCTGGTCTTTTGAGGACAGGGCAATATTGGAAAGCTTAATGATGCTTCAAAATTTGCTTGAGCTTCAAGGCTAGCTCTTTGGCTTAACACGCATGCCCAATACAAAACCTAATTGGTAAGTCGAGCAATATGTCTCCTAGTTTGGCTTATATGATGATTTGCGTATATCTTTGTTTCAACCCCATCTGAAAGTACAAATTGTACTCTTTGATTATAACTGCGCATATAATATCTGAAATAAGCTCAATTGCTTTTATTGCTTTGCTTGCAATCACGAAAGAATGAATGAACTGTCTTGCTGACTTTGTTCAAGATCTAGGTCTTCACTTTATTACTATTATGATAGTCAAGATCAATATAATATATTCGTTGAAAAATATATTTCTTCAGTAGACATGCGTTAAAAGGCCTTCATGCAATCTAGACGATGTACCCATCTACCGAATAATCCGTAGCATCCCTAATGTTGAATCCGTTTCTAGACGCCCTGGAAAGTCATCCCTTTCGAACACAACCAACAAACGCCAAGTCTTCTAACCTGTATATACCTTGGACCCGCCCCATAGAGCACAAATAATACCAAATAAAAAACCATCCTTAACCAGAACGCTCATACCACGCTTTTTCAATAGCACAGCTAGCCAGTCTATACAACTCAGACACATAATCAGCAATCATCTTGATATGAACGATCTCATTGACCGAGGACGGTTGGCGCAGGAAGATCCTTTCCAGCATGCTCATTGCCGTTTTGAGCAGGCCAAGATCTTTGGTGGCCTGGGGATCGGAGGGGTTTTGGAGGATGTTGCAGAATATGGCTAGAAGGGCGGACATGGGGTAGAAAATGAGGGTCCTGAGTTACGTTGTTAGTGAAGGAGATTGTTGATGGGACGTGGGTGAAGACACGTACCAGAATATACCGTCGATCAGGACGTGTTCTGATGCTTGGAGATAGAGTAGTGTTGAACGACTGGCTTCGACGGACAGAGCTAAGCTGGAGTTTACGCCATGCATGATCCCACCTTCTTCTTTAGACCAGTCCCTGCATCTGCCACTGGCTTGGTGAATGATTGTCATGCAGAGATGATAGTTTAGTCGTAATATGACTGAATGCATGTTGGCATTCGGGTCGGGGGTCTCTTTGACGAAGGACAATGTAGGTCGCCATGCTAGAGGTATCGATAGTCTCCATTTCTCGAGCTCGTCGTCCAGTTCGCGAATTTCCTTCAAAATCTCGGCGTCCGTTTTCTTCAGGCCTTTGAAAGAGTAAAGGGCGTTGTAGGCTCGAGCCTTGATTATACTCAGACGGATATCCACTGGATAGACTGGGTCTTCTGGCATGTCTTCTGGAGGTATCTGCCGACAGTCGATCGGGAATTTGAATAGATTCTCGCTATAAGTGGCCGGTATTGTCAAGTCGCAGTTATCTTCCGTGAAGAGCTGGGGCTGTCCAGTCCGGAGAGACACATCCTTTTCGATGGTGTAACCAAGCCAGAAGAGATATCGAATTTGTCTCTGCGATCTCATGGCAATCTCGTTTTGCGACGTCTCCGGGTCTTCTGTCATTGAACTAGTAGTGTGTCCACCCAATAAGAATATCATGCGTGCTGCAATCGAACCGTAGTAGCTGGCTGACTGTAAGTTGCCGGTTACAAGCTCGAAGAGTGCCTACCAATGGCGTCAGCGCACGAGAACGCATCTGCAGCTACTAAAAAAACAGTGGATGTGGTCTTTGTATAAAGAATAAAACAACCGACATCGGTGGGCAAAGACCCCACAGCGGGCTTAGAGGATCCGGACTCACCATCATGGATACCACCTGCAGTCCCTCCACCGAGGCAGACTCTTGCAAAACCTGGGGCACCAGACATTGTGCTCTCGTGAAATAGGCCTCACTGTTGAGAGGGGCAAGTTTTCGAAATTCAGTCTCAAACTCAAGAGGTGGTACTAGAGAGATAAACGCAGCAAAGGCAAGCACACATGCCCTGGTGCTCACTTTCCCATAAGGAAGCCTCGTTCGTGGTTGCTGATAAGCATTTTCGATAGTTTCTTTGAACAGAATGGGGTCCACAACTGGAAATATACGCCTGACAAACGATATGCAGAACAGTCTGAAGTATGTGTCTATGAGGGTTCGATCAGGCAGCTCGAATGCGCTTTCGGGATGGGGGTTCATCACCAGCGCATTGGATGCTAACGCCCGCTGTCTTTCCCATGGTGGCTTGTTAGAAGTGACTAATTTGCTGAGCGAGATGTTCTGTCCAGTCCGTGACTGGACCCATTGCTTGCCCTCTGGGAGTAACAAGGGGATGCCCGTGAACAAGTTGATGCATCCTAACTCACGACCTGCGAAATGCAGAGGCACCGAAGAAGAACCTGACTTCTCATTGAAGGTCGACGATTCTCTCGAAAAGTCGTGAGTGTAACTCGAAGGATGCGATTCTATAGGGGACTCATGATGATTCACACTAGGTGGTGTTGCAGAAGGAGCTGCGTATGTTAGTAGATGGAGATTAGGCGTTAAACCAGCATACTGACTGGGCTCTTTCAGAAGGTTTTCCGTAAGGAACTTTTCTATACGCTCAATACGCTCCGCCAACCCAGTCGTCTCTTTCTCTCTATAATCGTATACACCGTCAGAATATAGCCCAGCGATTGTATTCTTCAATCAGAGGCTTAAGCCATACCCTTTTGCATCAGTCTTGGCTTTCCGCTTCCGAGTAATGACCCTATTGAAGGTGCACGGGATGTCATGATGGCTGCACCAATTACACTGAGGCACGGCGGCATCACATTTTATCTACAAATGGTCAAAAAGTGACTCTGAAGCACGTCCAGAGAGCAAAACCGACCTTTCTTTTGTAACATGAATCGCAGGCCCTTGAAATACGCTTCCTATGTTTCTGGGGATCCTCTTCCGACCTGTCAGCAGGTGTCGGAGATTGATACATGTTATACAGCGTCTGGAGGGACCATATATGCTGTAATTCAGTGGTCTTCAAAGGTGATAGGAAAATAGCAAGGAGAAGGGAAGCTGACGGATGTGCTGAAGGCGAAAAGCTTCCGACCCGCTGACAAAGATGCAGCTGTGGGCCTGCTGTTGCCTGTTAGTCAGCGGAGATAACGTAAGCGGCAAGCGAGTCGGCCACGTAAGCGAGTCGGCCACCTCCGCTAGTAGTATATCATCATTCTGATTTACATACAAAATGATGCTTTTTGAACACCTAATTCAACGCTTAAAAGCGCTCTATCTCAAGATACTGCTCGATTAGGACATCTAGTACGTATATGCCCTACAATATGGCACGCGCTACACCTAGGAGGCGCCCGACGGCGTGATTGATCCTCCCTAGGACCTGCATCCCCAGCCTGTTCTTCCAATATTCTAGCATGGTTGAAAGCCTCAAGCGCTTCTTGTACAATGAGGCCATTCAAACCATCCATTTAATATTAATTGCGTTTCTGCTTAGTGTTTCGTTTGTCAAGAGCTTCACGTAGTTGGCGATTTTCATGCTCAAATAATACTATATGATTCAAAGCAACCTCCGCGCCTTTGAAGATGTACGATAAAGCTGACTGTATTAGTATAACTGGAGTATCTTGTTATTAAAGTAATTGAGATAATGTAGACTCATACTTCTTGAATTACCTCAAATTCCTTGGTATTTTTGTAAAGATCGAAGAAGAGGAGATACTTTGACTGCTCGGACAGCTGGTCTCCTTGAAAATCATATTCTCTAGTATCTTACTGGAATCTAGAAGAACAAGACCTGAAGCTCTAAAAGCACTTTATATATTTATTTTAGTAAACACTTGAGCATGGGTTTTCAAATACATGTCAAGAAAATCAACCTTCTCGATATGATGATATCCCGTACGGATAAGCTATTGAACTTAATCTTTATAAGCCTTCTTCAAAGGCGAAAAGCATACAACATCTAAAGACTGACATAGATGTGAGGAATTAGCAGGCATACAGACAGGTATAATCTGATTTTAATAATATATATCATCAAATTGAGGTGTTAGATGCGAATCATGCCCGTCAAGTACGAGGAGGCTATATTGACCTGTTCTTCGTGTTTTGATATATAAAATAAAATAATCTTTGAGCCATGCTTCCCCAATCTCTCATATAGTCCATCCATTTGAGGATATAGCAATCCTCCAGGAAGATGGTAGACTTCCTTCGTACCAAGCTTGAATATATGTTTTTGCTTTTAACACTAAATATACTAATAGCACCCATCCAGCAGCGTTGATACACTCAATTAAAGTTATCCATTCGCGATTCCCTGGCTATATAAGAAAGGGTCTTCCTTGACATATTAAGCGTGTTACTACTTTAGTAGTACCCAGGATACCCATAGCAAAGCCAGTTTCATCGAAGTTATAGATATCTTCGTCAACAATGCCGTATGTTGATATAGCAGTTTGTACGCGTTTAAACCACATCTGAATAGCTTCAAATTCTTCACACTTCACTCGTTTGTAGTTGATTTGACAGCTATATCGACTTTTCAAGGAATCATGCCTTGAGATGTAGTTGGTAACCCATTTTTATCCGACAGAGATAATTATATTTTGACCACGCTTTTGAAGTAGTAGATTCGCCATTTCACGGACTTGAAAGTACTTTGGTGGTGCACCACGTTGATCTAGTAATATAATCCATTTTTCAAGTGATTCTTCCTCTATAGAGGTCAATTTATGTGAGTTGGCTCTAGTATCCTTACAAAATTTGAGCCCATTTAGGCGATCTTGAAGTGTTGATCGGAGAACTTGAAAAACGCGTGCAGCTTCACGAATAGATTTTGTATGACCTTTCTGAATAGATTCAACTGCTAAACAGAGCCTGCCCTCTTGTTCCACCAACTCTTTTGATGATTTAGGCATTTTTGGTGGTGTAATGGCTGTTTGGATAGCATCGCTTTCGGAGGCGTGGACGAGTTTCGATGGGGTGGCCGACTCGCTTACGTGGCCGACTCGCTTGCCGCTTACGTTAAGGAGGGTCCAGAACAAGTTCTTCCGACTAAGGCATAGCAACTAGTAATCTACTCAACGATGCAAATTTCATTTCATGGCACTCATAAATTCGTAAGTCCTAACTAAATAGTGATGTTATACAAAAAGAAGCGAACTGCATTGGATCTACCAGTAGACCAATGCAACCGTATTCACAAGCAACATTAGGCCTCAGTCACGGCCTGCTCCTCCTCTCGCAACAGATCAGCCTCGATAGCACGTCTACGAGCTTGTTCGGCTTCGCTCGAGTTATCCTTGAAGACCTGGTCCATCTGTTCCAGAGACTTGCCCTTGGTCTCAGGGACAAAGAAGAGTGTCCATACGAAGGCCAGTGAACAGAAGACTGCAAAGAATACGTAAGCACCGTATCCGGTATCTTCAACAAGCGGCGGCGTGATCAAGCCCTATCAAATACTCGTATTAGAATTGCGCACTATCTGGCTGTTATTACCGGGTGAACTCACAATAATAAAATTGTTCAGCCAGTTGGAACAGGTCGAGAGGGCCACACCCTTGGCACGGAGAGAAGAAGGAAAGACCTCTGCGATGAGAGTTAGACATGAGTGGCATTCCGCCGTTCATTAGGGTTAGATACTTACCAGCTGGCAGCGCCCACCCTACTGGACCCCATGAGCCACCAAAAGCGACCATGTACACAAGTAGAAGAGCGACACTGGCCCAACCCTGGGCGCGGTGCGCGGGCCAGTTGTCGGAGTAGAGGCTGACCAAGATGGCCACGATAATGTGACAAATTGCCATAATAGCTACACCCCTGAGCAGAAGAGCCCGTCGACCGAATTTGTCCATGGTTGAGATACTGGTGATCACTCCCACCAACTGTCCCACGTTCACAATACCCGACATCAGGAGTTGCATGCTGTAGTCTAATCCCATAGTCTCGAACAGTGTAGGTGCATAGTAAATGAGGGCATTGATTCCAACGAACTATCCCCGAGGTGTTAGTTGCTTGCCGGGATATACTTCTGAGGGGGCATTTCGCGACTCACCTGTTGAAAGAACATCATCATGACACCAATGTGCGTCCTCCGCCAGCAACCCTTCTTGAAGCAATCGGCCCAGCATGCCAGATCCAACAAGATTGCGTTCGTGAGCCCACCACCTTGCAATTTGGGGTGCTTTTCTACGTTGAGTTCCTGATGGAATCGGACCTCTGCTTTGATGTCCAGAAGCTCCTGTCTGACGCGCTTATCGGATGGAGGCAATTGACGCAACTTCGACAAACTCTGGAGAGCCTCCTCTACCCTTCCTTTCGCGACAAGCCATCTTGGAGAGAAAGGCAATACGATGACACCCGCCATCAAGATGAAGCCCGGGATCAACTGCAGCAGGAAGGGAAGGCGCCATGCCCACTCTCCAGACATATACCTAGTGCCGTAGGTGATCCAGTATGCAATGACAATTCCGAGAACAATAAACAACTCTTCCATCACTAGAAGCGTACCGCGACACTCGGGAGGACCTATTAAAAATACAGGTCAGCTGACGCTCATTGTACAAGTAATGAAACCAGTTCGGTATGAAACAGTCACAATACTCACTGATTTCCGAGATGTACAAGGGAGCCACCATGGACAACATGCCAATTCCCACTCCACCAATCAGTCGTGCGACAGTCAACATGGCATAGTCAACCGCTGCTGTCTGCAGTACTGAACCCACCGTGAAGATACAGACTGCAACAATGATTGAATAACGACGAGAGATTTTGTCCGCTATCCAACCTTGGTTCATAGCACCGAGGAATGCTCCTAACTCGATCATTGCCGTCATGAGACCTTTCCAGAAGCCTGAGTTCACCTCGGGGAAACGTTCCAAGAATTGGTCCATGACTAGAATGACCGAGACTACGCCTTGATCGTACCCAAACGTGAGACCTCCTAGTGTCGAGCAAGCGGCACACATGAGGACGAAGGGGTTTGCTATAAGACCTCTAATGCCTGGGGGGCCATAGGGTTCCCTTTCGGGGAGAGGGTCCTCTGCATGGTGAGCAGTGCCCCCTTGGATGGATGAACGACCATCCGGGGACAGCTCCTTTGCAGGGTCGATGGGCTTCTTATCCATCATGTGAGGGTAAAGAGGGATAAGAAAAGGAAATTGAGGACTGATTTAAGGAGAAGGAAGGGGTATAGGCCCAACTTGGTCACACAGGCGATGCCTCTTGTCGCTATTGTGATGGCACGTGAGTTGTTTTACCAAGAAAGCAGAAGGGAAGACCCGAGTTACACCGCAGCTTATATAGATGCATCAATTGCCTACAGATAGCCCGGCCAGCCAACCAGAAGGAACCAGATGCCCAAGGAAGTCAAGAGGCCGAGAAGCGACATGATTCGCAGTGGACAGAACGGTAGGATTCGGACGATTCCATAGCCATGAAGCAGAAGGGGGGAGAAGAAAAGAACCCTAAGCTGCGATCTGCAGGCCAATGTCGAATCGTGGTGTCTGGGTGAAAGTGGGCCGGCGGGCGGAGACCGTCAGGGAAGCGCGAGGTGGAGGTGGTGAGGCCAAACTGTGGTCCGGTTTAGCGTATCGCAGTCACCCTGGCTCGAATCCACTAGAAAGGCGCAGGCGTGGGATGGAACTACATGGAAAGCCGGTTTGCTCCTTAGAGAGCAAAATATTCATGGAAGTCAAGCGATATATAGTCAATTTGACAAGCTCATCAAGACTTAACCTTGCTTGTCATTCTTGATACTCTGTGCCTTTAGATATTCGTTTGGTTTCCCGATAGAGGAAAGCAAGACATCCCGTGACGGCAACACGTGCGGGCATCACCATCTCCCATTCCGGCCAGAGGAGCGAATTGACGAAAGTCTCACAGTCTCGCCCAGTCTCACCCAGTCTTTAGTGTCGGAGTAAAGCCGTCCAGCCTGGGGATCAATTGTCTGCCAACACTATTCTTACTATGGTGGTACAAGCCCCAGGATTACCTTTACGATGGTTCCGCATCCGCATGGCTACAGGCCCGCTATTAAACGCATGGTCGAATAAGCTGGACGCATGAGATTCCCCCAATATATGCTTGATAAGACACCCCATGTCCTCGTCATCGTACATTCAGCAGCCGTGGATCATAGAATGGTATCTTCATGGATGATGCCTCTTCAGTCCGCCAATCACAAGGTTTTCTGGGATGTCCGAAAGCGGGTGCAGGAGGTGCCGCAGAAGCTACATCATCTTAAACGGCGGATGCGGCAATCGAAGCGGAAGCCCTCAGGTCGAAAGCCGATCGGCGGTATTTGATATTAGATGGGCCAAACCAAGGGAAGCAAGCCTATGCAGCCGTGTAGTTTACCGGAAGAAGATACTCCCAGTAACTAATAGCTTGACTTGACTTTGAGACATTCGAGCCCAAAACCCAAAATGCGCGCTACCTTAGTTAGGAGGATAGGTATAATGGAGTGACATTATCAAGTCGGTCATTCCGGCCATCCAGCGGTCGTGATCATGAGAGATCGATGCCTGAAGGGGAGTCCCGTGATGATAAACGGCTCCAACACACCCATCGGTGCCTTAGTTAGTAACTTAAGTAACTTAGTAACGTTACGGCGAAAGGGCAGCTGCCCCTCCGTCGGGCGGGCGTGACGCTCTCCAAAAGAGTCACTCCCCTTCAGTATCTTCATTCCTTCTTTTTCTCCCTTTCGCAGCCCACCAGCTTTTCATTTAGCCTCCCGTATATCTTCATAACCAGCAGCTGTATCTCTCCCCACGGGGATTTAAACTTCACCATTAGCTCCTGGCAAATCGGCCCAGGATCCAGTTCCCGTTCTCCTCTTTTTCCCCACCTGGAACCTCGACTCAAACGCCGACCGTCTGCTTCGGTCGACCACCGGTCCTCGTCCTACCTTCCATCCGCATCCTTACTTCTCCCCTCCGAACGGTATTTTGTTTTTGGCCACCGGTCCGCAGTTGCGACTGAGATCCCGGTTTGCTGCACAGTTTGTTGTCCTCCATCCCCGACGTCCTGGCGTTGCTAACAGGTTGTTGCGCAACCGGTCTCCAGGGAAAGAAGGAAAACTCAGCAACAACGACGGATTCCAGTTTCCGACATCAACGTCATTCCACAGTTCCCCTACCCCAGAGCCGCTTTCTGTGACCCCCCGAGTCTCCAACCGTTCCCCGCAACTAGCCGCAATCGCGAGTAATCCGAAATTATGGGCTCGTTTATGGAGGATCTCTGGTCTAGCATCTTTACCCCGGGTCCCACCCCCTCCCTCCTCATCGCGACCAACGTCACCTTCGCCGCCCTCCAGGCTCTCCTCTTCGCCCTCCTGCTAGCCACCTATAGCATCCACTTTTTTGTTTTGTCTATCTTGTCTGGCGCCCTATGGTGGTCCATCAACTGGTTCGCTCAGGAGCTGAGGCAGGTGCAAGCTCAGGAAGCGGAGAAAAGGAAACAATCGGAGGAGGAGCCTGCAGAGAGCCAAGCCAAGTCAGACGGCAGTCGGAAAACCCCGGCGACTCTCGACAGTGCCGGGAGTGATACGGAAACAGAGCTTCTGACGGAGCACAAGGGTGCTGCTGCCACCGCTTCCGCTCCTCGGTCCCTCGCCGCATCGGCAACTCTTCGGCCACCTGAGGAACAAGGCGAAATTCGAAAGCGTCTGAGCGTTAGCGGCGAGAGCTCCGGTTACCAAAGTACCGATAGCGAGTGGGAGAAGGTAGATGACGGTAAGGCGGCCTAGACGTACACCGGATTGGATCATCATTGTCAGGGATTGTTAGTATACCAACCTAGGGGCCCGTGTGACCCGACTTATTTCATGACCATCCTGCGTCGGGCATGAACCGATACGGCTTCGTTGCCATACGCCATCCCCGTCTGTGTCCCATATAGATGTCAGAGAGGCATTCTGTTTACTGCACCGGCAAGATACTCTATAGATGACTGATACATGCCGCGCAATGGAATGAATTGTAGACCTGTTACTTGATACTTTGATGGCCGTAGAGCAATACAAGATATCATGACCCGGTTAGTAGACGCAATGCTTTCTTGCTTCCACCATGACTTCTAGCAGCAAAGTACCGCGGCAAAGTGATAAGCCCAGTCTTGCATATAGTCCGGATATCCCTTTGCCCGCTCGGAACAAGAGAGGTGGGCATTGTTACTATCTCATGCAGAGTTTTGACCCCCGCTTTCAAGCTGCAAGGATGGAAACCCCGCCTGAGCACTATGGGATTGACCAATCTAGAAGTGCTCTTGAATATGACAGATACTACCTGAGTTCTGTGTGCTACTGAGAAAAGTACTCGACTCCTATTTGGTCTATCATCTGACTAGGAGGATGTACGCCATGGCCTTCTCCCTCCACCCACACCTAAATTTGAGCATACACGTAGATGCTTTTCTACATGTAGAACTTGCTGTGTATGCTCGAATGATCTGTTTTAGACTTTTTTCTCCTTCTCAGGTGCATGGAAGCATCGTTCAACTAGTATTGTACAATACTCTTTAAGAAGTTATTGGAATTGCTAGCACCTACTTAGTTGGGATATATTTTTCTACCGCATACTGAATAAAAACAGATGGCGGCATCAACAATGTCTACCACACAATGAAACACAACAGCTAAGCTCGAATTTCTGACTATATTTAGCATGAATTAAATTTGGACTCTATGCTTGCGAAAGTCAGTCAAGATAGCTCAACATACTGAAGCTGCTCTATGCAAAGCATCTTTGATTGCACATTTCCTCTTTCGGAACTCTTATCGATAAGCACGCTGATCAGATGACTAATCGCGTTATCCATGATTGTGCCAAACGCCTGCATCAACAAACACCCCTCAAGCCATAGCATCTTGGTAAAGGAGTGCTCTCAGACGCGACCCATAAGAATCAATGATGGATTGAGCTATAATTAAGCCGCCAAAATGCCATCCACAACCACTGCCATCCACACCAGCCGCCGACGCGTGTTCAACTCCGTCCTCCCTTCCGCGTCCCTAGAAGATTTCCCATCCGCAGGCCTCGCAATCGGACCTACAACCTCCACTCTCTTTCCGACATTCTCCTCCGGCACGAAAACCCGCGATAGCAGCTCGCAGTTTCGATCTTCGGTAACGTCAGATAAGACCGACATAGATGAGCCATGGATGGACCAAGCGACACTGGATCGCGCCTGGCAGGTTGCGACAACCTTCCTTGCCATCCCGGACTGCGGGTTCGACATACTCTACCGATATGAAGATATAGGAGAGGCGAAGTTCTTGCGATTGACGAATCGCGATAAGAAGCCTTCGCGGGAGGTGATTGAGGCGTTCGAGTACTTGATGAAGCCTTTTACAATGGGATTGGACGTGGCGGAGGATATGGCGCAAAGGAACATACTGGACTGGTATGCGTATGAGATGCGGAGGCACTTTTTGAAGAATTTTAGGGGCGGGCTGTATAAGGTAGGATGCAAATCTGGGGTTCTTCAAATTATGTGCGTGGTGCTGATCGTGGAGTGTACAGCTTCTAAATTATCCTCACAAAGAAAGGTTGCTACATAAGATCGTGGACTGCTTGCAGTTGGCAAGGAGGTTATACTTTTCGCACTTGATGGAATATCTGCTGCCGCTTCTGGATACTCCCGATCAGGAGCCTATGTTCGTTAAGCTCCGGACGTCCTTCCACATGATGGTGGCTTATGCGTTGCCGTGGTCGTTGAGGTCCACGTTGCTGACTCATGTGATTACTACGGAGGCACTGGTTATCCTCGGAATTGATAAGCTGGGTGAGGAGAGAGATGCCGACGAGTCAGGGAGCGTTGATGACATGGAGGTCGATCGGCAATTCTCGGTCTCGTACCAGGACTGGCGAAATGAGCCCTCTGTCGATGCCAGAATGATGCTGATGGCCGGAGAGGATGCGCGTGTCAGTGCGTCTCGAGAGATCCTCCTGGTGCTCTTTGATGGGCTACAGATGGTTGGGATGGGCGGCGATAAGGCGCAGAAGGTCTTTGCTAGTGTCATGGACACCATGCTGAGCGAGTTCATTCGAGCGGCATACACCGGGCAATGGGAAGGGCCGTCACTAGTCGTCCAGCATTTACGGCACTGGATTGAGAATGTTTTCGCGCGGCTGGTCGTGCAAGTCCTAGCAATTATCAACACCCCCGAATCTGGTGTGAGGGAACCGGATAGTCTCGATGTGAATCTGAGTGACGTGGAGAAGTGGCAGGAAGTCGGAATTTCTCGCCTCGGGGCTCTCCGGGCAGGCGAACTCTTTGATATCATTGTCGAGTGGCCTGCGAGCAGTGGAGCCATCGAAGATTTACGACACTTTACTACATATCCAGCAGCGCGGTCCCACCTGACGCACTCTTTTATTGCCGTTCTCAATCAACGATTGCTGCACCCAGGTGCTTCTACCGTCGAAATTCTGCAGGTGTATATCTCCATTATACGAGCATTCAACCTGCTAGATCCTAAGGGGGTGCTTCTGGATCGGATTGCTCGGCCCATTCGCAGATATCTTCGCGACCGCGACGACACAGTCAAAGTCATAGTTGGCGGACTCTTGTCTGACCCGGCCGATGCTGATGGACAAACTGCTTCACACACGGATACACTGGTGGAGTTGTCAGCTGAATTGACCAAAGCACACCAGAATTCGCTGCGAGCTGATAGTGGGGAGCTCGACTGGGATGACATGAACTGGGTACCCGATCCGGTCGATGCGGCACCAGACTATCGGAAGTCGAAAACGTCCGACGTTATTGGAAGCCTTATCAGTCTGTTCGAGTCCAAGGAGATGTTTGTCAAGGAGATGCAGAACATGCTGGGCGAGCGGCTACTACAGAAGCGCGCCGACTTTGACCAGGAGATGTCCGTTCTGGAACTTCTCAAGGTGCGCTTTGGCGACAATGCCTTGCAAGCCTGTGAAGTCATGCTGCGGGACATTTTTGACTCCCGTCGCGTTGACGCCGTTATACGCAATGATCAAGGATTGAGCGGGAAGCGCAAGGCCGCGCCACTGCCAGTTACTCCTGATGGTAGACAAGCGCCAGAGGACGAGGAAGACATGCCAGAGCTTCACGCCAAGATCCTGTCCCACTTCTTCTGGCCTGAGATTCAAGGGCTGGAATTTAATGTTCCAGAGGAGATTTCTTCGCTCCAGCAGCGATACGCGCAAGGATTCGGATCGCTCAAGCAGTCGCGCAAGCTCACCTGGCTGAATGGACTCGGACAGGTCACTGTCGAGCTAGATCTCGAGGATCGTGTGTTCATGGACGAGGTTACCACCTGGCAAGCTACGGTGATCTACGCCTTCAATTCTGAGTCGGATGAGGCCGTGACCAGGACAACGGACGAACTCGCCGGTGAACTTGGGATGTCGACTGCACTCGTGCGAAGCGCATGTCTCTTCTGGGTAAGCAAGCGCATTCTAATGGAAACACAGCGGGATACATTCCGAGTCCTGGAAGTTCTTCCGAGCGAGGAGGGAGATGCATCAGGCGGAGAGCCCGGGTTACCTGGCGCAGGTGATGCGGAGGATCAGTCTGCAGAAACAGCACAAGCAGCAGCCGAGGCCGATGCGGCCGCGGCAGCAGCAGCGAAGGAAACGGCCGAAGCGGCGGCGATGGAGAAGATGAATCTCTATTGGCAATTCATTGTGGGCATGTTGACCAACCAGGGCGCAATGCCACTGCAACGAATCGTGATGATGCTAAAGATTGCCGTTCCGGGGGGATTCCCGTATAGCAACGAGGAGCTGCGAGAGTTCCTGGCTGGGATGGTCTCCAAAGGCAAGCTGGAAATTATCAGCGGAGGTAACTACAAAATTGTGCAGTGACCCCCTATTATATCTACCGATAGAAAGAGGCAAAACTTGTATGAATTACGATTAATGAGGCACACGAGGTATAACATAATTCGAATAACTAATTTAACATGGTATTGAAGCTAAACGTACACATTACAGACATGAATATCATTGAATCATTTTGACCCGTTCACTCAGCATCCAAGGGAGCCACCGGGGCCTGATCATCAACCTGGATACCACCCCTCTTCTTCTCATTGCTATCCCAGAACGGCAGCTTCCATCCGCCCTCGCTCTCCGGCGTAGCCAACCACAGCCGCATGAGATGGCGTCTGGGCGTAGGGGGAGCGTGATCAACATAGGCCGTGCGTGCATGCAGCACATGAGAGTTGGCCAGGAACTGAATATCGCCGACTTCAAGGACCATGTGCAGTTTAACGCGGTTGCAAGTCGCCTCAAGGACCTCGAGGGCTTCGACCTGAGCAGCCGAAAGCGGAGGGATGATTCCAGCGTCGGAGAAGCGAGTGAGGGATCGCACATAGTAGGGGTCCCATCTGCGAATAGCGTCAGCACAGCCCTCCATCAACATCAAAACAATTCAAGGCAATAAACACATACTTGGTATAAACCCGAGGATTCTCCCCACGCTCCAGATACACAACACTCGTCTTGATATACTCCTCCTGCCCCGTGCTGGTCTCGCCCTTCCGGTCGAAGTACCAGATGGGTTCCGTCAGAGTCTTGAGCACATCCGGGCGCTCCTTCGCCAGGACATTATAGACGTTGTGAGAGGAGCACAGGTCGGACTCGCCGCCCTCCTTGGCGCGGTGGATGCAAAGCAATCCAACGATGTCGGAGTCGTCTGCGTGGAAGAATTGTCTACACAATTAGCTTCTCCCAGCACTGCCAACGAGAAAATAAACGAGTGACGTGATAACCCACCTAGCATTCGTGCGATAAATCCGCACCGAATCAATCTGCGTCGGATCCTCACCCAGGTCCTTCACATGACCGAGAACATGGCCCCTGCTGTTCTGGCTAACAAAGTACCCGAGGTACGTGCCGAGACCCATGTACGCGACAGCAGACTTGTGGTTTCCCCATTTCTCAACGGGGAAGCCCTTGAAGAGGATGAATCCCTTGCCATCGAGGAGGTCGGCGCGGAGTTCGTGGAGGCGGGCGGCTAGGTTGGGGAGGGGGAAGTTGCTCTGCTGTCATCAATACCCTGCAACCACCGACCAAAACCAATAAGGCTGGTAAGTAAGTGGCATACCTTGCTAATACCAGTCATGGGAATCTTCGCATCCAAAAACGCATCCGCAGCCGCGGACAGCTCCTCGATCTCCTCGGCCGTGAACCGATGCGTCCATTTCTCCGGGTTGTTGCTATAATCCTCGGGCTTCCAGACCGTGGGGCCAGTGATCTCCTTGGGGAATTTATCGAAGGGATGGATATGTTCGTAGAGGGGAGGGTGTTGACCAGTGGTTTTCAGACCGTCGGGGAAGACGTCCAGGGGGATACTGGCGGGTTGTTGTTGAGTAAGAGCCATAGTGATGGGGTCAATAGATGAATAGTAGAATCTTATCAATCAGTAATCACTGCAATCAAAGAAGCAGTTGATTAAACCAGTAGTAGTGTAGATAGTAGTGCAGAAAAAAGAAACCACTACCAGCAGGGTCGACACCAGTAGTATTTATATACCCCTCATTCCAGATTCCCTTTCCCCCTCCTCCCTCGCATCATCATCATCAACCCACTACCGTGCAAACCAAAACCCCTGGCGAACGCGCCGAGCCCAACTAGCAGTTCGGAACGATAAGCGATGTAACAATCAGTGGAGGGGAATTGCGTGCGCCAGGTGCGAGACAGGCTATACGTTGAAAGTAAACGTGGCATATGCGAGTTCTCATAGGAGGAGTGCGCCGCGGGCGTCGGCGATCACGAATGTTGATTTGCCGATGGCGCAATCCCGGCGGTGATGTTGTGATGTGTGAGCGGGAAGAGCTTGTGATTATTATTATTATGCTAGCAGATTTGTTTCTTAAGGGTTCTGGAGTGAGTGTAGTGGTGGTAGCTTTAGCGACAATTTGTTGTAGTTGTTGATGGTATAGTGGTTTGTAGTTGAGGTTGTATGTATCGATCTTAGTCCTATCGTCTCTTACTATTGGGAAGATGGTGGATGGTGGATGGCTAGAACATGGAGGGTCGGGTATGAGGGATGATCAGCGGAGAAGTGCCGGTGGAAACGGTAGTAATGCTTGCTATCTTTCTCGGGCGAGAGATGGATCTTATGTTTCTCATTTATTGGTGTTTCGAGATGATGGAGTCATGATGGATAGGGTGGATGGGGATGGGGATGAGGGCATGTGTTTCCCGATCGGGGTAGTAGGGTCTTCTTCTGTCATGGGGGATGGTATTTGATTACTATTACATATACACTGCATACTAAGGTGACTGTGCGTGAGTATTGAGAAATGGTTCTGCAAGTTGCTCGGGTAAACAACTTGAATGGATTCATGCAATTCATGATCACATGTAGATTGAAGATGGGGTTATTTATTTTTGTCTACAGGGCCGGTTCAGTTGCTCCGCATCAGTGACTGCGAGGAGAGACAGCCGGAATAATTCCGCCATCATCGAACGTGAAACAGTAGTCTGTAAAACCTAGATTTATTTTAACTTGTCGAGGGGTCTAGGTTTCAGTGTATATATAGTTAGTCGCAACCTTGACGAAGAAAAAATGCTAGAGCAGAGAGAGACAAATCACAAGTTCTATATAACCTAGCTACTGTTAATATCAATTATGATTCTGCTTTATTTATCATATTGCAGCACAGCCTATCACAACAACAGGTTGTGTAGTGTAATGGTCATCACTCTGGATTCTGATTCCAGCAATCCCGGTTCGATCCCGGGCACGACCTTTTTGACCTCCTTTAACACAGAGATGCTCCGGGAGTCTCTCTTGTTTTTGCTTTTTGTTATCACTTTTCTTCTTATATACTTAGTAAACCATGTCGTCCACAATAGTTATAAAGAAGAACCATGTATATGAACAACATTTCACCATCTAAACTCCCGCACCAACGAAGTATTTGGCTCAGCGGCCACAGACAACCGATTCTGTCACTTCCTCCAAGGCGGTAAAAAAAGTACAAAATCCCGACTCGTCTTTTTCGGAGCTGTTCAAAAGTATATCCGCATATAGCCGCTTATATCCGTAAATTCTTCAGTGAGGTCGACGAGGTTCTGCCGCTTATGGCGGTCAAAGGAGCGGCCAGGCTCGGCAGTACCTTGCTCCGCATGACATTGAGGGGCATCCCTGCCACCAAGTACCACTCCTTTAATTCAATCCAAAGACATCTGGATATCATACCTTCTAGATGAAATGCCTATGATGCTCTTCGTACATACCGTGCACTCTCCGCGGCCAGAGCTTCAATAACCATATATCTACCCTATATGAATTCCAACTTCCTCTATCCCAGCCGACTCAACTAGTAGCTACCAACTTACCCGTGCCACGACCCGGCCGATGGCGGACGTCCTGCGACGAAGAGGAATATACCACACTCATTGGATACATCCGCTCTCGCAGGGTTAGTATGCCCTTCTACTATGGTCTTGGCTCTCATGATATTTACCCGACTTGTTAAACAACTCCCAAAGCCCTAGGAATAGCATACAGACAAACCTCCCTGGAAACCCTATCTGCAAAGGCGGGAGTAGCGTATAGTTATACAGTAGATTTCGCGGGTACGTCTATCAAGCGAAGGGTGAGTTGATTCCTTCCTAACCCTTACAGTGGGGGTAGTAAGTTATTGGTCGAATCTAAAATAACACTGGTCTGGACTGATAGTATCCCCGTGTCGTTGAAGGGAGGATTCAGTGAGTATACTAGCTACTTACTACTATATACGAGCATCTTATGTTTGGTAGTAGGATTGACCTAATACTAACACATGGCTTAGAGGCACAACCCCCCACCTCTCAAGCAAAGACAAGGCCGACGGCAAGAAAGTCGTGACTGTGGGATTTCATGCCCCAAATGGAACGAGATACTTGTCCATCCACGCGCATGGCGACGGCACTTGGAAAGAGTTTCTTTCGAGGGCAGGGAAGGCCGTTTCGCGCAATGATAGCTTCCAGCGGAGATTGAATAGACCTTGTTAGTCAGAGGGGGGAGGTGTTGAGGCATTGTGTGGTAGTTACTGTGCTTTGAACAGCTGTTGATTGATCTTAGCGTCATAGTATCCATTGATGATATGGTTTCGTGTTTGCTTTACCCGCACTTGGACCTATTCTGTTCATGCCATGTGGGAGTTTACATATATCTCTGAGCAAAGGAAGCTAAACGACATATGATTGTAATATGATCCTAACGTGTACAATGATTTCCTATCATGATGGATTTACCTCTCAATTGGAGTCATCAGCAGTAGCAGTACCGCACAGGCAACTTCCATGTATTACTGTAGACTTTCCACTCTACTGCAAACGGAGCAACAATCACCGCCTGGCACACAGCCAGGATCTATAAAAAGTAGACTTTGCTATAAGTTCTACTAAGTTCCTGTTCCGGAATACACCCCCGGACCATAGAAATCACCATGCCACTCTTAAGGACTATCGGTAAGGCTAGTAGTATTGACGGGTAGCGGACCATATCCGCAGCAGGAGATAATCTGACTAGGAACACTATTGAAAACCTGATTAAGGTTGTACTTTGACTTTCGGTGTCATAAATGGTGGCTGAATGAGGCGTTAAGGTTATCGATGCGTCGGTACTTGAACCAGGATGATGATTGTGACATGGTTATCGTTTAATGCTGATGGAATGATAATTCGAGGTCGCCTCTCTATCCATATCAATCTCTAACCTGTTTAATTGCGTTACTTTTCTTCTTTTTCTATCTAAACAGCGCAGGTAGAATCGATTTCGCTGCGGTATGATAATATAGCGGAAAACCCCAACAGAACATGAACTTGCTCGGCTCCAACGTATTATTATTTCAGTCACAATGACCCCTTGTCCTTTCTAAAAAGAGAGTCCGAATTGAAAGATCCACAATCCAAGTCATTCTGACCTCCCTCAACCCAAACCGCAATAACCTCCCCGAATCGGCGAGCTTCAACCCTAAAGCGGCGCCCGCATCTCGATCACCTACCGAAACAGGCAACTCGATCCCCCGGGCTGGTCCAGGGTTCCACCCAATTTCTCGCCTTATCAAAGTTCCAACTGTTTAGATAATAGATTTGGTATCAGGCATGCATTTTACCCCTCACCACTCTTCACACCAACCCCCTCAACAAGCCTATAACACACTACACACACGCGAGACAATATGAGAACCCAGAAACACCTCCACATCGCCGTTCTGGATACGGACGCTCCGGTTCCGAACGTCTACTACGCTCGCGGTCTTTATAGTACCCAATTTCGCAAGCTTCTTCGCGCTGCTGCGGGGCGGATTGCAGCAGACGAGGGACGAGATGAAGATATTGAAATCCACACCACGGCGTTTGATACGCTTGGTGGTCAGTTGCCATCGCTGGCTAGTTTGAGTACGCAGCCTACTACCCTTGTGACCAAGGTTGGAGAGGTGATCAATCCGCTGGCTTTGCCTATCACTGGAATCTTGATTACGGGATCAGTGGCGTCCACGTATGGTGCAGAGTACCAGTCATGGGTTGCACCATTGCTGGATTTTATTACTACTGTATATGAACAGTATCCTCATGTGCGGATCTTTGGAAGTTGTTTTGGCCATCAGGCGCTTGCAGACGCCTTGCTTGCTGGATCTGCTTCGGCCAATGAGGTCAAGGTGGGATGTTGTCCTTATGGAAAAGAAGCTGGTCTGGCGCAAGTTGAACTCACAGAGGGATTTGTGGATGCCTTTCCCTGCTTGAGGGGAAAACGCACGTTGAGGCTGCAGATGATTCATGGGGATTGGGTGACGGTTGAGTCGTCACCTGAGAAAGCGCTTCCCTCGCCTTGGATGAACATCGGGGGGACAAAGCCTTGTCCTATTCAGGGCTTGTATTGCCCTGGGCGTGTTCTGTCCTATCAAGGGCACTTTGAATTCGACTCGTTTGTCAATAGAGAGACGTGTGTTGACTTTGGCGGGAGGTTGGGTTGGCCGAAAGAGCTTATCGAGCAGTATGTGACGGCAATTGGTGATGTGGACGGGAATGGGGATGACTCCAAGCTAGCCGCAGAGGTGCTGGTGAGATTCTTTGCGGGCGAAGATGATGCGCATAGCAAGGAAGGCATGGGCAAGGCACGGGGTGAACAGAGTGTGGGGGTAGGCAAACTGATTGGAAGTCTGGTGGAGCAGTTGATAGGTGGGAACTGGTGGTCCAGCAAGGCATAAGAAAGGGCATAGATATCCTGGATCCCAAGAATGATGAACGATACCATCTATTCAATTCAAACTACACCAATGTTCAATATATTCGTAAATGCGACCCATGTAAATCATCCAAAAACATAAACCAAAAATGTCATGATCGAAAACACCAATGCCACCATGTAGTATATATACCCGCCCAGCGTTGTTGTATACCTACCAAACACCCAAAATCCCGGATTTTCATAAGATTGTCCTTATCATGGCATGTGAGAATCATGGTCGGGCCAGCCCTTCAATAACTCGTTCCGAGATATAAACAGTCAAGGGCGACATCATATACTCATCGACCACTGGGTGATGCTCGTGTGCCTGGCTCATGTCATTGCTCCATAATTTTGAGTAACCGTGCACCCTCAAAGCCATTAATCGTAACATCCGTAAAACATAAAATTTCTGTCAGAAGGCCTCCAGAGTACGCTTCAATCTGGAGACCCCAAGGTGAGGCATATATTCACCTGAAGTCGAGCTGGAAAGCTTTCCATTTCCCACCTACCGTGCGGCAGCGAGGGCAGCCACGGGGACTGGGATAGCTTGTCGGTCCATGCGACATCGCGCTGCCCGGACTCGACGTCACATTCCTAAAGGATGCGGGCGGACTGCTGATGAACAATCCGACACACTCTCGGCACACGCCGCAAATGCATTCTGTGCAGGCATAGCATTCATTCAGAGCCCATGGGCGTTTGCAACTGGCGCAATAGATTTGAATCTCTCTATTGCGGTATGATGCAGGGGTGGGGTTTGAAAACCGATGATGCTGGCGTTGGGATGCAGAAGAAGGATACATGTTCAATACTGGGCTAGACTCGTTGTTCGAGGTGCTCATATGACTCGAGAATGCATAAGTTTTCCCTGATGCCGTCGATGCCGAATCTAGCGAGGATTCAATGGAAGGGAATGGTTCCAAATCACTGTCACGACTGCGTGCGGTATCAAACGGGGGCGGAGTCAGAGATTTATGCAGCGGTGACGCCGCATAGGCATGAGGTGGGAAAGGCCGATGAGAGGTCGGTGGCGGCAGTCCTGGTGAGGGTTGAAAAGCCGGGGGTAACGAAGACCGGTGGTTGCCGACCGAAGGCGCCGAAGTGATATTGGAGATCAACGGGGGCATCGTAGGCGACCGACCAACCTGTGGCTGAGATTAGCACATGTCTGAGTCTAGACTGCGAAAAAAAAAGCAGGCACCTACATCCGAATTATGATCGTCATCCGCTTCCGTGGCCGAGGTAGCAGCTTCAATTAAATCTTCCCAGCGCTTGCCTTGAGCCCATGCTGCAGTCTGTGGTTCTGCAGATAGCGCCTTGCGATCGCCCAGACTAGGGCGTCGACCGTATTCCTTCGATCTGGTCCGCTCGTGCTTCGGTTTTCTAGCTCTAGAAATGGATGACTTGCGAGGGCGGGGAAGCTTGTCTCGATGCTGAATGGGAGGCAGAGTGGAAGAGCGACCGGGCGGGGAGTGCGTCAATATGGACGGGAGAAGCTCGCGAGGACGAGGGGACGAGAATGGAGGCAGCGATGCCTCCTGCTTGAAGTGCTCCCGAAGGGAAGGCAGTTCAACCGATCGCAGGCGGTCTCGGTCGTTGTCCGAGTGAGTCTCCTAGCGCACCAGTTAGGCAAATCTCGCTTTTCTACTGCTCACAAAGTAGTCTAGCATACCATGTCCGTATCCCAATCGGATGCTAGACGGTTATGGTGCAATTGAGCCAATGCGACGGCGGCGGTTGCTGCCGCGGGGTGAGTCTCGTCGATGCCCCGCGGGGTTGCCGGCGAGCTAGCGTCAGCAACGTAGATATCTCGATCAGCGACTTCTATAGCCAGTCAGTCGACGTTCAGTGAGCCACACATTCCAGCCATGATGACCGACCATTGCGTCGCCGAGATGGAGCTTGAGTTGAAGGAGATAGATGGGCCCGCTGGTCTGGAGGGGTGGTCACCATCAAGATGAAGCTCTCCTCGGTCGCCGGGAGCTTCGGAATGTAGTGGTTCGGGTGGGCTCTCCGGATGTGCTCCTGCATGGAGCGATAACGCTTCTCCTGAAGGGCAGAAAGAACATGTTAACCACGAGCATCATGCTTGAAGAGTAATGCGACAGCTGGTAATATTTTTTTTCTCTTCAGCCTGCGCCGCACTGGTCCTCGCACAGAGGCGCAGGCTGCTTGCTGACCATTGCATGAGAGTGGGGCTCGGATCGATAGCGGGCGGGAAGAACGAGCAGGAGGGAAGCTGAGAGGGGGAAAAGGCGAGAGCTGAAAGAGTACTCACACCCAGACATCTTTTGCGGCAATTGGAGCCATCGTTATTCTTCAACGGACACACCACTTCATTGTTGACGTCGGTGACCGAAAAAGAGCTGGTTAGCGATGCTCGCGGCGGCATGGTCTGCATGGATCCGTCCTGGCGGGGTGGATTGGAGGGTCAAGCCAGTGAGCCAGCACAAGCACAAGCACACAAGCAAGCTTGAATGGGAGCACTGAACTAGATAGATCAAGGTCAATTCGATGTGGCACCGTCAGCCCTCCCAACGCATGCTCCAATGTACAGCGCAAGAAGGAGAGGCTCTAGAAAGAATGAGGAGTATGTAAAGGTATTTGAAGAGGCGAAAAGATGAGGAAGAGAAAGATCGGGGAAGAGGTGAATCCGTGGTCGAGAAAGCTAAACGGCAAGTAATAGAGTGTATGAGTAATATGGAGATAAATCCACCCTAGTTATTGCTGTCCAGGCTGAGCT